CACGTGCCGGACAGGTTCACTTGCGCAACCTTGGAAAAGATCTTCCACGTGAGTGCAGTGACAAATATATATTTATACATGTTTTTTCTTGTCGCTCTGTATATGTACTTTGTTCCTATTGGTGCTTCAAACGCCCCAATCCTCACGTGATCGGTTCAAGACCCCGGTGGGACCTCGCTTTCCGTCCGGTGGGCGCGCTGGAGGGCGCTTTGTTCATTGGGCGCGCTGCGCTGGAGCTGTCGGGTGTCGCAGAGCATTGTGTGGAGCATTTTGATTTCTACGAGACAATCCGGCAGGGGCCTCAACAGGGCTGGAGCCTGGCTAAAATGGTGGGTCATTCGTTCGCGCAGACACTGCGGAAGTATGTGTGAGAAAATGATCGCCATGGAAAAATGCGTTTGCGACAGAACACGAATGCATTATTGATACGAACCTTCTTTGGCTCTCCATTTTTGGACCGCTGAATGTCTCGCCAAAGAGGCTGGTGGTCATTCAGCAAAGTCCTGTGCATTCAGTTCTTTTTTGAGTTTGCGTTGACTATGTTTTGAGTGATGCACTGGCAGCCACTGGCATGATGCAACCACATATTGTGTGGGTTTTACTTGCGATTCGCGAGGTGTGCTGCTAATGCTCAGGGATCCCTTGCAGCCTTTGCAGTTGCCAGCCACTAGACAGCCATTGTGTTGCAAAACCGAAGCATGGGACGCTTTTGGCATGCAGATACGAACAATTGACACGAACAGGGCGTATATAAGTGTGCAAGATAGTATCCAACTGATGTCCCACCGATTTGCAGTTTGCCAGGTCATGTTTTTGCGGAAGCAATAGCTCAATGCAAGGACAGGCGTTTGGAGATCTTGGTTGGGTAGGAACCCGCAAAAACCACGAAAACCATGGTCTAGTAGGGAGAATAGACTGAAACTTCGGATGACAAATCTCCATTTCAGAGACATACAGTACCCGGTACCCGTTGATGTCATGAATTTGTGGAGGACAGCATCAATGACTTGGACCTGAACGCCTATTGCGCTGGATCGGTGGCTCAAATCGTCCATGCAACTTTGGAACTGACCGCTGCACTGACCCTGCTGGCAGAGTACTGCACATTGCTGAAGCGTTTTCCCTTCGGGCGACCGGAGGATAATTTGCGAGCTCGCATGCCATACTCACATATTTTCCATCGCTAGAGGCACTAGTGGGTATGACTCTGATGACTACTGAGTGACTACTGATGACACTGATTAACCAGGGTTCTCTCTTGTTCAGGGAGGAGCCATACCCAAACAGTTTTTGTTCATTTTTGCATGATCTGGACATCTACGATGATGGATTCCGACATGTTTAGCGTCTCATCCTCCTGAGCAGGCTTCTTTGACGCTTGTCAGATGTGTCATGATGTGTCCAATCTTGACACATTGGACTAATTGTAGATATGGGATGATATGGGTGTGTATTTTAATAGGGGGATCTGCCAACCAATGGATTTAGTCACTAGTTTGCTTTTGATTTTCCCAGAGGTCTTTGGGTGGTCTCCCTATTCCAATAATTCCCTAAATAAGCAGCACCTTTGTGTTTCGACTCAAGGTCCAATTTTTTGGAAGCCTCGCTCTGGAAAGCTCTCTGAAACGAGTTTTGACCGAGAAAACTCGGGAGCCACTCAATGGAGTTGGCGAAGAACCTCGAGATTCCTGTGGTGAATCGGCCCAAGACATGGAAAGCGCAAAAAAAATGCATCATTTGCATAACATTGCATAAAGCCATCAAGGATCATCAAGGCATCAAGGCATGCCGTGTTTTTTCAACCATCGTTCCATCGTTCTATCCCTAAATATTCTCATGGGATGCATTGAGCTTCTGCGTGTCACACGAGAACGATCCAAACATGCTGGACACGAGAACGGACGATCCAAGCCTCGTTTGGGCCGGAATCCAAGCCGAAGCCTCCTTCGTCACATGTCCAGAACGGACTGAGGTGAAGATCCGCGGAGCGAGCGGAATGAGCGAAGCTCAAGCAGAGGACCCAGGTTTGATCCTGAGCATCAAATGTTGGAATCAGTAAACTCGAAGTTGCTTCTTTCTTTCTCTTTCTTGGGTCCATCAAGGATGGTAAGAGTTGTTCTTTGTTGGGTTTTGAACGCAGTAGCAGTATTGAATCTGAATCTTGAGATATTGATTCTCAATTTCGCGTCAGGCGGAGCAACAGCTTTTCTAGGACTGGATACTGGAGATAGATGGCAGCCCCTGATTCATCCGCATCACTGAGCTTCTGTCAAGAAGCACAGAAAGCTGACTCCGGTCCGGGAAGTTCGCACAGTCGCAATCGCTGCGAGAAGATCTCCGCGTCGATGCTCCCAGAGCCGTGCACGGTCGTCGGAACAGCGAGCAGAACTGGACAGCGGCTCGCAGTCGTTGGAATTGCGATAGGATCTGGGGCAGTTGGAGAGCGCTCGTTGGAATTTGGAGAAACAAGGAAATTGGCTGCAGATTGTACTAGAGCCGGGCAATTGGTCATCAAGCTGAAAATGGGATTGCTGCTTTGTGATATCTTGCACAGAGTGGACATTTGGGCTACTATAGTGAACAAGCAATCAAGTTCGACATATCATATTATATCATATTATCAAGCCTGAGGCAACAAACTGCAGTCCTAACTGCAGCAACACCGAAGAAGTTGCAGAAGCTAAGAAAGGATGCGTACTGTGCTTGCTCTAGACGGGCAAGTTAAAAAGCTTCCTGGTTATCGTTCTTCTTGAATGAAAGCATAATTTGTACATGTTCAGTTGGTTACTGAATGCGCAGCTGCCATGTCCTCCTATGTATAGTGGCTGTGTCTGCTGAGTCGGAGTCTGAACTCTACTGCTGGCTCTTTGCAGTGCAGGGGTGTCGATCTGAACCGGAGTGGTTGGTAGGAACACCTCGTGTATTGGAGGATGCGAGTCTGGGGAGCGGCTTTACATCGAGGAGCCTGCCAGATCGCTGTTGGCACTTCGCACGGGAAACCTGGATCAAGTGTCAAAATCCAGGGCTCGAAGCTGTGGACTTTGCTCTAGCTCCCAATGTGATTCTTGGTCGGAAAATAAAGATCGATGCTCCCCCAATCTCCGGATTTGGAGAAGTCGAATAGGGGGGGTAAGGAAAGCTACTAGTAACAAGTGCCACGCTAGTAGTAACAAGTGCCTTACTAGTAGTAACAAGAAGCTATTAAACTTAAATAGTTTCAGAAATCGGTCTTTAGGCGTCGTGGGGCCGTACGCCCGAAGGGACGCGCAAGACGCGGCGGCGCCAGATGCCCTCGTGCGATTCCACCAAGTTCACTGAGAGTTCGTTGAAATTTACAGATTACTGGACAGGCCTCCATGAATAGCGACATAGTTACTATACTGAGGAATGCAGCCAATCTTTTGCCTCACGATGAAGCGATTCCTGACTTTCGATCGCTGGCATACACCGGCCGAGTCCTTAGTTGACAGCTGGGGTAGGACTGACTCTTCTGGGTTGTTTTGCTGCAGTGTTGCTTAGGCTCGTACCCGTCCATGGGCACGCAGGGTTTGCTTCAGCAATTGGAAGAGGATTCTTTCATGCGCGCGTTCTTTAGCTACCAGGTATCCTTTTGGTGGGCCAACAAGGACTAACACACGACGACGCGTGCAGCTTTGGACTAACAGCTTCCACAAAAACGGACCTGGGTGACGACAATATACGATAATCTCATCCTCCCAATAAACGCCCAAAGCTTTCAAACGTCATTGATGATTTGTTCATGCCCAATATTCTGAGGTTAATCGGATTACAGTTCAATTAGCAAGAAGAACGGAGAACTGTGCAAGCAGTGTATTGCCAAACGGTTGCAAGTTTGCACAATTGCCAAAAAGCATGACCTTCTGGCAGTGATAAGGATCGGGCACAATCATGAAATTGATGAGAGTCGTGCCATCTGGTCTAGCAGCTGCGCGTTCCAAACATAACCTGACTTACACCATCGTCATCGATTGTTTGCTGGTGTTATGTAGCGAACACCTCATGATAGGAAACGGATATTTTATTGGAAATTGTTTCTATCGAGGGTGTCTTTGACATTGCTATTACCCTCATGGCCTCCCACGCAAAAAGACTTCATCGGCAACTGATACGGACGACTCTGTTAATTTCCCCCCGGAAAGATTTAAATTAAGGCAGAATATGTATCACAAGCCGAAAACTGACCTTTGTCAGGGAAGCTTTATTTGTGTACACAGTTTGTGTGTGTGCGTGTGCGTGTGTGTGTCACTTCTTCTTTCTGGCGCCGCTGGCCGCCCCATGATTTGTGCATCAAAGAAGATTAATGCCTTCTCCATCATGTTGCAGCCTTCACAGGTGTTTCTTCGTTCGCTATGCGTCTGCATGCAGGAAATGACCCAATTCTCGGATACCGATCTTAGCAGGCCAGTGTGCAATGGATTGTGGTCGCCTGTGAAGGAAAGGGCCAACAAGGTTGCTGCAACCAACGAGAGTCAGTTCTGCGGCTCCTGTTCCGAGCAGTTGCAGGAGACTTCACTCGCTTTTTTTGGTTTCAGGGGAGTGAAACTGCAAGCTCTTTGGTCTCTCTCTTCGGTGATCAAACCACCACCCGTTTGAGTCAAACGGTCATCGCCGCATACATAGACTTGGCACCTCGCATTTGGGCCCTGGTTAGACGAACGAGTTTGTCCGGTGGCAAGGCAAAGCACTCTACTCTTCAGATTCTATGGGCCAAAGCAGTACTAACTAGTGCATTACTACAAGTAATATCAAGTAACAAGAAGCTATTAGTAACAAGTGCATCGCTATTAGTAGCCAAAAGCAGGTGTTGTGATTGTTTCTTCACTTTTTTCCACTTGTCGGCTTAGCCCTGAGGACATGTGGCAACGTGCCAGCAGCGACGTGGACTTCGTGGAGTTCCCCTTTAGTGCCGCGAAGGTGGCTGGGGGCGAAAAACAGAGCTTCCCCATAAGCCCCTTGTGCGCACAAGATAACACAAGAGTCTACTGGCCTTGAGGTATACCAATATGATTTAGATATTATTGGCTTGAAATTGTTTGGTGGACTGAATTTCACCCTGAGCTTTCAGACACCAAAAGAACTCGAGCATGACATGAACTTCTTTGCGGCTTTAGACGCCGCTTCTAGATTCTGGAACATGGACGCAAGCTGGGATACCCATACACCTCATGCACTGCTGTCATACACCTCATGCATCACGTTTTGATACGTTTTGCATGTTTGACATCTGTTTTGGCCCATGTACTTTCACCACTCAAACGACTGAGACATACAACATGACGTACTGAGACCACTCGTCGTGTTGCAACAGGCCGATTGCTTTCTGGGAGTGGTGACACTCACGCTTACAGAGCTACTGTGTGTACATTCCTGTGCTGCCTTTTCAGAAGATGAAGAAATTCCTGACTGGGACATCCACGGAGTGCTATGGAAGAAGGCCAGTCAAATCACGAAAGCAGCCTTTTTGCATGCCATTGCATGTGAATCCATTCTCTCTATCTGGGCCCGATGGGAGGAACCAAACCGATCAAATGCCAGGTCAGCGACAGATAGCTCTTAAGGTCATAGGACTTCCGGGGACACCGCAGCCTGAGATGGATACAGTTTGCAAGAACCCCCACGCGGAAACACCAAGAAACCATGTTCATGTGTGGGGCGGATTTGGGGGTCCCTGCTGAAAAACATGAAAAAAGATTGAAGCTGACATAGCCGCACCTGTAGCTGACATAGCCCATCATAGCCCAAAAATGTGCCAGGCACAATTGGAGCTGGAAGGATTGTTTTTTTTCTTTGACTTCCCTTTGGCCCTTCTGGCCTCTTCGGGCTGGCCCATTGTCACCTTGATGCGTCGTTTGGGCGAAGCCTTCCGCTTGAATTTTGGCAATGTGATCCCCAATGACTGCGACCTTTTGGATGGAGAAAGGTGGGGATGTCGTGTCTAGACAGATTTGGGAGTGAGGACTTGGTTTCATGATTTTCGTGGGCGCACATGTGAAAGTCTTTGCCCCGTAAGAAGTAGCACTAAAGCGTCGAAGACACATCAAGAAAGTTGGTGAGGTGAGGGGGTCTGAGAACAGAGATGTTGCATCATCGCGCTTCTCCCGTCAGGGCTGACGGCCTCTTTTCCAAGATACAAGTCCTGCTTGCGGGCAACGAACTCGACTTGCCCCAAATTCGAGAAATTGCTGACATTGCCAGCGCATTCTTGGATGAAGTTGACAGCACCTGTCCCTTTGCAGTAGGAACTGCACTGCTGTCTCTACTAAGAGCTGCCCAGATGTCAAGTGTGGTTCAAATCTCGGACTCTGACTTTTCCTTCCTGACCTTGGATGCTTTGAAGACGTGGGATGCCATGAATGGAGAGAGAGTCGGACACAAGAGACACTACTTCTATGACCTGCTGACCACTAGATGGCCTTGGCTCTCGTCCCTGGTCTATGCATTTTGTTGACCAGTTGAAGTATCCACTGTCCAAGAAGCACAAAGCAGTCACACTGTTCTGGAAGTTCAGGTCCCCTTTTAAACATCAGATCAGTTCAGGCTGCTGGAGCAAGTGAACAACTCTCGGAAACCTCAAACTGCCAAGCATTGGCCGATTGACCAGTTGGCCATTCAAGAGGAGGTTCTGCTCCCAAGATGTGTGGATCGAGTCATGGCATCGCGAGAAACATGGGAGTGGCATTGGTCGCAATCGCCTTTTCAGGTGTTTCATGCTGTTCATTTGGCCTTTTTGATCCCTTTGTGAGGTGATAGTCCAGTGATAGTGATTGTGTTTCATTTGTTTGGATTTTAAAAAGAAACAGCCCGGCAATTACAAGTTCTTTATTTCTTTCTTTTGCAGGCGCACGGCCGAGAAGTGGAGAAACCCAAAGACTTTGCCAAGTTGGCCGAACGCCTCTGCGAATTGGAGGGGATGGAAGTGCTGTTTTTGAGTGGCACATCATCGGGATTCAAGTGGGGTTCATTCACAGTACGTGGCCGACAGGTCGCTCGTGGCTTGCGCCAGCTACTGCCGATTGGTCCGAATATCAAAGCAAGAGCATGGAATCAAGATTGCACCAATTGGTGTAGCGATGTGGCAGTCTATGGAAAAAACTGGTCGAATCCGGCCATTGTCGTCCATGTGAAATTTCCATGCAAGTGTGCGATGGAAGTGCTTGCTAATCGGTCCAACAGCAATCACAGCCTGCCTCCAGCTCTGCACGTTTATGATCACGTCGACTTGTTTTCTCTGGTTCCTGAAGGCATGGCAGTCTTCCTGGCGCAGACCTCTTTGGCAGCACAGGACTATGGTACACATCCCTCTGTCGTTGCCTCTGGGATGGAGGTCTTTTGGCATCCCCTGCATCACTCCAACATGGAAAACTATCGAATTCCTTGGCGCGACCAGGTCCAGATGATTGGCACCCATACCGTTCACAACGACACCGAGCTCTATGGGGCCGTAGGACTCTTGGCCCAGAATTTGGGCGTCCAATTCCAACACATCGATCCGATGGAGCGATTTGCCAGTACTGCCGGGTTGGTGATCACTCCACAGCAAACCCAGCAGGTTTACGAGCAGTTTGGGGAGATGGACATCACGGTGTTGCGACATGCTGGTTGCATGGAGCACTTGAACTGCATCACGGCACGGTGAGAGCGACGGTGACGGGACGGTGGTTTTGCAGATTAGCGCTGATAGCGGTTGAATGGTGGTTTGAATGGTGGCCACTTTGATATGCCACTGGGCTGCCCATTTGCAGACCGTTTTGTGCCCGTCCTAGCCGAGGTACGGCCACTCGAAAGTGGCTTTGCGATCGGTACAAAACCGGACAGCGTTTGGTGTTTTGGACTCAATCAGTTCCCGGCCGTTTTGCTTTGTCTTTATATGGCTGCTAGACATTTTGAGCCATATCACCGCGTTTCAATTGGTTCCTAAGGGGTCTCAAAGAATGTGGAAACCATGGAAAGATCATGAGAGATGATCATGCTCTATGATGAAATGAGGTAAATGCATTCGCCGTGGGGTTACCTGCTGTCTTTTGGCATCAGCAGGGATATCTGGATGTGATCAGTCAAGCGGACTACCCAGCAGTGGCCAAAAGTGTCTTGCCGGGGAATTGTATCAGGTTTGTCAAAGAATCCCATTAAGGCTCTATAACAGCATTCCATGCAGGGCGTCATCTATCATCCCTTGTTTGTGCTGCGGTGTTTCTTTTTTGAAAAGGCTCGGCGGACTGCCCAAAGTTGACCTCTATTTTTGCCGAAGAAGAAGAGATGTGTGATATGGTTTGATACCTTTCGGCCAAGGTATTGAGGAGGCCTTGCACTGGGTCAGTGAACTTGTCACCAATTCAACGCTTCGATTTGACTTGCGTCAAAAGGGTTTGCAACTGGCAGAATCCTACTCCCTCGACCGCCTGAGCCAGCGCCTTGCGTTGATTCTCTCGCAGGTGATTGAAGAAATGAGAGCTCGCTTTGCAAGACTTGCAGCGTTGTCCCATGTTGTCCCTAACAAACAGAAAGAAAGGGCATGATATTTACAGTACGTAGCAATGAATGGACTACGACTTCGGAATTTCCAAATCTAGCTGCTTGGCTTTTCGACAACTTCTTTAGCTGGAGGGATCAAACTGTTGTCGCGAGAGAAGCTAGAACTACGCCTACTTATTGTTCTGACATGGAAACCTCCAGAGGCACAAATCATCACAAGTACTGTACTCTACTACTATGTATTGATAATGACCCATGGCCCATGACATAAATCACGGCGACAACAAGCAGAAGTCCCAACTCATTGACGTTGGCAATGGCCCGTGAACAGGCGCAACAGAATTATGTTCACTGAGGGGGTCTTCACTGAAATACTATCAAATGGCCGACTGTAGTGTAGCTGTAGCTCCTCATTTGTGCAAAGACAAAGCAAATTGGATATCAATGGATGCTTTTGAGGCAAAGATGGGAAAGACGTTGTGACACATATTTCGCGTGGGAAAGACCGACAGACGCCAGGCGGGTGAGCTGCCCATGACTCCCTTTTCCATTGAGCTCTCCTCGGTGGATCGCTGCTCAGTGGATCGGTGAGATGCTCAGTGGGCGTAACAAGGCGCCAGAAAGCCCGTAAGAAAGCCCTAGTAGCTTCTTGTTACGAGTAGTAAGGCCAGGAGCCCCGTTCGTAGCGTCCGAACGCTCCGTTCGTAGCGATGCCAGGAGCCCCTAGTAGCTTCTTGTTACTGGTAGTAATGCCCTTGTTACTAGTAGCGATGCACTTGCTACTAGTAGTAAGAAGCTAGTAATATTCGCTTAAACAAGAACCAAAAGAAAGATCCAAAGAAGATGAAGCAGCGTTCATGAAGGTTTACTTGCACGTCCGTATGAAAGAAGAGTGCAAAAACGGGATACAGAACTGATTGTTTGCTGAATCACAGACCTTCAGGAATGCCTCCTTCATGAGTGCGCATTCGTCCCCGAGCTTTAGCCAAGAGCCTGACGTTGAGGATCGGCACGTAGAGCTTCTGCGCATCCCGCGGATCGTTTGTACTCGTCCGTGCCCAGGGGCTACGGAGGTCGATGGGGCGGGGAGTTTGTGCAGATCTGAGCAGGCCTCCAACCTGAGAGCGATGGCCTCCAACCCAATGAAGGCCATGAAGTTGTGACTGATGAAGATGTGTGGAAAGTCACAAGCTGCAAGGTAGAGAGTACACAGCTGCAGGTCGCAACCTTGGAAACTGTATTGAAGTGGTACATAGTACACTAGTACACCACCGCAGCGGGAAATTTGTCCAGTTTGTCGGAAGTCGATGGATCAAATGTCTCTCCATCTTGGGACCTTGGCGACTGCCGGAGGTCTTTGCTTTGCATGGCCGGGCCTTCTCTTTGGATCCATTTTTCTACTGTGCGGAGCTTTGGCGCCAAAGCACCTGGGACAGCACAGAGCTCCGTGGAGGTTGGCCATCATGCGTGCAAGAAAATGTCAAGTCATCATAAGACAAAGACTCCCTAAGTGTTTACACATTCCTCGTCATATGCATGTGTACCATGGATTCCCTGCTTTCGCACAGCTGTTCCCGAAAAGAGCCAGGACGTGCCACTCCGCAGTTGTGCATACGCTGATGGACCTCGGTCTGGTGCTCCTGGGCTGCATGGAGATGCCGGGCTGCATGGTGCTTGGACAAGGTGGTGTCACACATATCCGGGCTGAGGCATATTGGCATGAGCTTGTGGTGCTGCGCGATGGTTTTGTGGTTTGCGGATCAGGCAAGCCATCGGTTAAGTGTTCGCTTCATGTCAAATTCTGATGGTCACCTTCAAGGTGGGGAAGCTGGTTGGTTTCCGATTTGCAGCGCACCACTACAAGGAGCTCAACTGATGAACTTTTGCTGGGAAGGAAGCAAGTCGCACATGAATACCGTTCATTATGTAGGAAACATTGTACGATTGGCGAACATATTCAAACAAAAATGAATGGGGCAGTAGGAGCAGCAGCGTGAACGGGAAGAGAAAGAAGCAGAGCTGATGTCTACTCGAGTTCAGAGGAGGACGCTTGGCATTAGAGTACGAAAATCCAGGAGGTGGTTGGCACGTCACTAGGGTTACCACGAGACATTACAAGGAACAAAGATGAACAAAGAACGATTGATAATAGGAAGGTGCTTGGGTGCCTTGAATAAGGCCCCTTTTAGAGGGTAGGCCTTATTCAAACAGCCCTTACCTTCTTATATACATTTACACTCCATGAGACAATCATGGAAGCAGAGGATTCTGTTTTTTAAAAATCATTAACATGGAAGCCAGCGAAGCTTTTTCAAAAAATAACATGGAAGCCACCCAGAAAGATAATTAAATACTGAGAAATCAATGACTATGACGTTAACACTAACCTGGAAGCAGAGCAGCAAAAACCCAGTTGATTTCATGATAGCGTTGGTTTCAGCTGAGATTCTTCTCGAATTTTCAGACTTCTATGTTTGTGTCAGGTGCTTTTTTGTGTGCCACAATCATGGCATGGATTTTTGTTTTTTATCCGTGGCTGCTATGAATGTTGGAGGAAGAGTATTGTGCTATTCCTTATACTTATAAGCACTTCCTCAAAGTGGTTTTGAGAAGTTGATGCAATTTGACTCTAATGTAGCCTTGCCTAGCCATGTCTCAGCCTCAACCTGAAAAATATGTCCACCAGTAGATGTTTGTTTGGTACAAGCACGAGGGTCAACATGAGTCAACCTTAAAAGTATTGTCCTTTGCCAATCAGGATGGAGATCGCGAAGAATTGCTCGATTGTGTCTGCTGCTATATTTATTGTCCTGGTCTTTGTGCTTTGGATATGGGGAGCCTCAACTTGAAAATGGCGAATGTACGAAAACGTGTGATGCTTGTGCAATGTAAAGACTACAGATATGTCAATGTACATATATATATATAACTATGCATGATAAAACATATATGTGTATGTGTATATATATGTATACATATGCTGCTAGGCATAATATGCATGGATTCTCCTCTGAAGTGCGGCTGGGCTCGTGTTGCTTTCTGGTGCTGCTCAGCTGCAACTTCTGTCGTAGCTGCTTCCTTTCGCCGTTGGCAAGAGGCATGCAAAAGGGTGACATATCTCAGTCATGTGCTCGGGGTACTCAAGGATAAAGTCAAACTATGACTTTCTTTGTCGGCGCACACCAAGGCTTGTTTGCTATATCTATTGCTTCGCTGACACTGGGAGGATTCATTCTCTTCAGATACCATGATAGGATTGAGATTAGCTGATCGTGATTGAGAAAAGAGAGATGCCATCACGGCTGCTGCAAGCTTCATCAGCGGAGTTGTCCATCAGTTGATGAAGTTGATGTTTTTGGATGTTTTTGGAGTGCAGGGCCAGCCGAACGACCGAACTGTGTGAACCATGAGCATCCATGAAGTGAGCAAACGAGCAAAAACAAAATACCTGCCTAAAACCTATACTGTATGTGTATATATATATATATACTGCAGATAAGCATGTCAAAAGCAAGTGAAAGATGCTAACCAGGTGCTGTAAGGTGTGAAAGTGACATCCCCAAACCCAAGTCACTCGCCAACTTCCGCAAAATCCAATTTTTGAAGGGACTGGAGGACATCAAGACCGGTAAGATTACAGACCATATTAAACTACTAGCTGCAAACCTCAGGGGGGGCGCCTCCTCGAAACACCAAGCAAAGGCTTGGTCTAGTGCCATGTGTGCGGCTGTACTGAATGTTCTCATGGAGCCTGATTTTTCTGGGCTCAACGAATCTTGGTGGCACCTTCATTTGTGACACCTCCATATTATATGTTTATCCATTCCCACTCAATCGTAAGTTCATGCGGGGTTCCGAAGCCTCAATTTGAAGGGCTCATTTTGGTGTTCCATGTTTGCACCAAGGTTGCTTTGGTGCATCCACGCAGCGATTCATTCTTTGCACATCTCAGATGGGTCTCGAGACCAGGTCATCTCACGCTTGGCAGATGCACAAGCACGATGTCCACGCTACAGAGTCCTCGACGTGGGCGCTGCAATGAATCCTTGGACACTGGGAGTGGTAACTGCTGTAGCAGATCGAACCCCAAATGTTGTGGACGATTGCTTTGAGCAAGCTTGGTTTTCAGCCAATGTCGCACGCTTTTGCTGCCGTTCGGGACCACGGACCACTTTGAAGGCTGATGAGCAAAACATAAGCTGTTTCACTCCTGACTATGGATATGAACGGTGTTGTCGCAATGGTGAACCGCAAAAACTCCTTCGCTTTGACTTGGATGTGAACAAAGAGTCTGCATGGGAGCCATTGCTCCAGCACGTGAACAGTGCGGGGAAGTTCGAGTTTGCCGTTGCGTCTCACATCATTGAAGATGTGATGAATCCCGAGATCTTGCTTCAGATGCTTCCACGAGTGGCCAAACGAGGCTTCGTGTCGATGCCATCGAAATTTACCGAGTTGAAGAGAGGAGTGGAAGGCTACGGGCCTCACCGTGGGCATATTCATCATCGCTGGATTGGCACCATCCAGTCGGGTCGTTTGCTGTTGCTTCCAAAGTTATCATTTTTGGAAACGGTGGAAGGATCGGTCGAACTGGTTGGAAATGCCCTGACAGCCGACTCCATCGACATGAGCTTTGAGTGGGATACTTGTCGGAAAGGTGATGTGTTTAGTTGAAAGTTGCCAACCTGTATTTTGATGAAAGAAGTTTGGAAAGGAAGATGATCTTCCCTTCTCCATCCTCAACGAGGGCTTTGTCGGCCCGACACCAATTCATGTGATCCAGATGTACTTGGAGGTGTTTCGCACGTCGGATGATGTTTCTTGGCAAAGACGGACGCTGCAAATGATAAGGGCGGAGCTATGTTTTGTAAGAGGAGTATGATGAGTATGTCATAGTATGTCTCTAAATTGATAGAATGGGAAAATATGGTGCGACAAGAATTGACCGGTAGCCAATATGGTATGGTCTTCATCCGAATGTATATTGTGGACTATTGTGGTGCATGCTTCTGTATTGTTCCGTTTTGCTAGAATGACTCAATCCCAGGTTGATGAGGCTTATATTGCTCGGCAGCCTATGCTCGACCTGTCTCCCTTACCTTGTGAAGCCAGGTAGGCAGATTCCGAAGCGACAAGGACGAAAACATGCAAAAGGGCAAAAGAGTCGAAGCACATAATCTTGTTCCTAGTAGTAAGGCACTTGTTCCTAGTAGCTTCTTACTACTAGTAAGGCACTTGTTACTACTAGCGATGCACCTGTTACTACTAGCGTTTAATCTTACTATGTTTCAAAATCTGATCACCCTGGCTGACCGGGCCGCCGAAGTGAAGATGGATCACTGTACCAGACATGTCAACCTAGTTGTTGGGTGGTGACACGTGTTGAACCGCACCGCAGTGGCAAAAGAATCCAAAAGATTCAACATGAAACGAGGATGAAACGAGGATTACACCTAAAATCATCTAAAGGTGAGTGTTTATCTACGTGTATCTATAGTCTATAGAAGTCTATGACTCAAAAACATGGCTTCACATGCAACCCATGTTGCGGCAACAGGCCTAAGCCGAAGCAGAAGGACGCGCCTCCGCAGGAAGAGTCCGGCGTTTTGACCAGCGTGCCAAGCTGAGAAAGCGCCGATCGAGATCAGCTGAGAAATCGCCACGTTTGACGTCGGAACGTCCGAGGTGCAGTTCTGCTCCCTCAGCCACTCCGAAGCATTTCGAGGTCTTGGAACATGGTCGTTTGAGAGTAAATTGGAGTCCAATGGTTATTTGGGAGGCGTTCTTGCATATAGTCTTTCCGAGTGTGATTTCCATGGACATGTTTCAGACTCAAAAACACAGGTGCAGGTATCAAGATTATCAAGCAGACTCCATACAAACTGATTGCAAAGAGTTGGTTAGTTGTTAAATCAACCGCTGCTTTCCAACACACATTCTGCTGTTCGTCAGAGGTACGAGGCCTTGATCCACAGGAAGAAAAAAAATTGGCACCAACACAAAAGCAGAACCAAACCAAAGTGATACTCTATAGAAATAGTCTTGAGTCTTTGTCACATCTCTTCTGCCTTATCAGACCCATCGGAAGCGTTCTCTGAGCCCTTCCCCCCGAAAAAAAGTCGACATAACTAATGACATCTATTGACACATCTGATCGTCTCGCAGCAAAATCTCCGTCCGCGCAGCATCTCCGTCCGTGACGCGACTGACTTGCGCGATGTCCGCGATGAGGCAGCTTTGAAGGACTTTCCAAGCAATTGGCCGCACAGTTGGGCGCCACCGGGGAGCCCTGCTTTCATCGCGAACTGCAGGAGCCGCGCGGGGCGCTCACGTGCGTGGCTTGAGTGCGGGACGAGGAAATGAGAGCACCTAGTGTTGGGTCCCCGTGCACTTGGTGGGCATCGAGTTCCAAGAAGTTGGGTTTGAAGAAGAATGTTCAAGCATGTTCAAACCGGATGTGGGATGATGTGGGAAGGTTCACCGATGGAAGAAGCAGTTTTGTTCTGTGATGCTTTTGACCTAGAGTAAATCTTCAAATTGACCAGAATCGAAGTGGGTTTGGCTGGTGCCTTTGACTTTGCTGGATTTGTTCATGCCAGGAAGTACGGCAGCGATGCCTGATTGCGATGAAGGCCGCGCATGGCCGCGCAGCTCACTTGGTTGATCTTAGGTCTTCTGTGATCCTCCTTGATGATCTTGATGGTCCTTGCATGGTCCTTGCCTGAGTGTTCCCCTTTCCAGGCGGTTGAAGCAGCTATGATGACCCTTCGACTCGCAGGGATGGGCGTGCGACACTGCTGAAGGGCGGCCAAACGCCAAGCAGCTCGCGTTGGGGATGGCCGAGCAGTGCGTTTTTAAGGGTCCTGTCATGACTTTCTGTGTTTGGGAGAGGAGCCCAAGCCCACTAAGATCTCAGAGATCGAAAATATCGTGCTGGAAATAGCTCACTATGACTACAAGATACATCAAGATACAGTATAACAGTATAACTATATGTATATGTCCAAACTGTCTTTAAAAGATTTCAAAAGAACCACAAGTCAGGCATTTCGAGCAGGAGCTTCCAAAGAGTTTGGCATGCGGAAGAATAACCCTTATATTCTTGTTGCATCGATTGATGGAGGGTGATTCTCGCCGCCTGATGCCCCCTGCAATCAATCAAACAGGTCAGGGGTCAAGTCTTTGACTGCCCAGGATCTATCACACCTGCGCAGCTGAGCCGGTTGAGGGCTCTTCGCGCATGGAAAGCTGCAAGGAGCCGGTTCAGCTTGGTCGAGAGTTTGCAAAAGACCGATGCTGTCAGCTGCATGAATTCTGTCCGAGATCCACACAGATGGTGCAGGATGTGTCTCTTCCGAAGTAACTCTGATCTTCTCATGAAGCAAATGTGCAAATCACTTCCAGGAGGCAGCGAACCTCAAACAACAAAACTCCTCTGCAATACTGGCAGCATGCATGCAGGAAGAGGCCCATGTAGTATTGGCCATGCAACATGCAAGTTTGAATCGGACTTCTCAACTTGGGATGCTGCATGCGACTTTCTTGCAAATTCTAAGCACATTGTTTCAAGTAACACTTGGTGTGTGTGTGTGTTCTTTGGAGTTCTTGTCCTTTTTGCAGGGTCCAGAAGCTGACGCTGTGATGCAAAGCGTCTTTGCAGCGGCAGGGGCACAAGCTCGAAGCCTCCAGCCAGAGGCACGCAGAGACGCACAGAGCTTTGTGTTGAGACGCACAGAGACAGCCCTTTTCGTTCCGTGAGGGGCGCTGCGGCCAAAGTCTTTGGTCACAGAGCGTCACATCTGTTCAACCCCTTCTTGGATCTGGGGCTGAGTCTTGATACGGAAGGGTGGATCTGGGAGTGAAGAATTTCTCACCATCAAGAAATAGATGTTGAACCCTCTATTTTCCTTATGTTCAGGTCTGTCTTTTTGAAGATTTATATGGTCTATCCATGAATTTGCTTATTTTGAAGGTTTTCAGAGCTATAAATGCGCGTGTGTTACGTTCTTCAGGGTCAGTCGTGTTTGATTTCCCGTCGCGTTTGAGTCAGTTCTTGACACACATCCAGGCATTGAAGCACAGGGCCAAGAACTTGCGATGTGCCCGCGCTGCATCATTGGTCAGGCGTCGCCGGTGCGTCGTGCAAGGTCAGTGCGTCGTGTTTAGGCCCGTTTTGGCACATTTACGGTGGAAACACCGTTCGGTTATGGGCCCCCCTATGGGTGTTATGGCACATAACTGTCCATGTAATTTGGTGGTGAAAACGGGTGTTTCGGCACATCACTGTCTGTGCAGCGGCCTCAAGGCCTGAGGAGAACCATATTCCCATGGACGTGCCGTTGGAGTGTCTTTCTCATCCATTCAAGGCCGCTAGACGGGTGGGCAGAATCGTGTGCGAGGCTGGGAAAAAACGGTGTTTTCAAGGCTCAGAGGTGACAACAGACTCCAAGTTGGCCGTAGCTATTAGACGGTCAGACTCCAAGTGAGAGGGTGCTGAACTTCCAAAAAACAGATTGTTTCAGACCAACATAAAGGGTCGCCCTGCACACCGAGCTCCATTGAGCCAAAGATCATTGATTGTTTAATGTACAAACAGGCTCTTGCTTCTGCTGCTTGAGGTCTTTTCTGCCTGGCCTTAAGCAGCAAAAAGATATGCAATAGTGGATTTTGCTATTGTTTTTTGAAACAACCGGTTTGTTTGGAGTTCAACCTCCCAGTTGGGCTTGTTTGTCAAAGCAAGGTGAGAAGAATTTGGGCTACCAGTCCACAGATTTGCAAGGGGATGCAAGAGCTCAAAGTCAAGATGTTCAACATAATATATAGACAGAAAGAGAGAAAGAGAGAAGCCCCTAGTAGCGTCCTGGCTCCTAGTAGTAAGGCCAGGAGCCCCTAGTGGCGTTCTTGCTCCTAATAAACATGTTTGAGATGCCTGAAACCTTTCAGAAGAGTAACCGAGCCTGTCAGAAATCCGGTTCCAGTACCTCCATCGAACATCTTCGTCCCGTTTTACCCGCTGAAGCAAGGTGAGCTTCTACAATGATTTGGCCCGGCACTTTGCGGAGTTGCCTTGGATCAGTCTGAGGCAAGCTTGCACAAGATGAAAGCTTCCAAAGCAAGAATAGCCACTGCATGAATACATCGTCTCAGGTTTCAAAATCCATCTTCCTCTACAAGTGGTTGTTGTGTTAGTTTGATCATGTTTGATCTCCAGACTCTACAACTTGATACAACTTGGACATCTTTGGGCTATACTTTTCCAATGACCAGGCATCCTTTCTTGCCATACTACGACAAGTCGATCTTTGTGGAATTTGCACCTTGGAGATGTTTGGTGGTTCGCATGTGTCCTTGCCTGATTAGATGGGAGCCATGAGAAAGCACTATCAGTATCAGTTGCTGAGGCACAATCTGTTCCAACCTGGGTAGCATGGCTGTTTGAGATACTTGGCAGCACGTGGACGTGTTTGAAAGGTCTGATGGAAACCATGAACATTGCTCAAGGCTGTGGTACTTCTACGACCACATTTTCTTGCCAATGTTTCGCAACTGGTTCGCATTCAGCAGATGCTCCTTGTTGGTGCCCTCGCTCTGGATGAATTGTGCGTTTTCGCGCCTTCCGCATGTGTGAAAAACGTCGAAATCTGCTTTGTTTCACATCGGAGAATCCACCCATCTCTCCACTCGTCTCAGAATCCACAGGTGAACAACACGCTTGGGGTGCCCAACTGGCTCCGCTCTTTCGCTTGCCACCCTGGGCAGTGCCTCGTGGCATCGACCGGCGGCAGGCGCCAGGACGGACGGCTGCGCGAAAAGGTGGAGGGCATGCCTCGATGGAAAGCAGGTAATGATGGTAATGGTTTTACACGTTGAAAAGTACGTCATATAGCGCATTGCGCATAGCTATGTAATGCTATGTATATAGCTCAATGATGCTAAAATGGGCAAGATCGGCTCGATGTCTCCGAGCCAAAGTCAGTTTGGCAGAGTGCCATCAAGTCTTGGCTGGGGTTGATGAAATGCTCAAAGGAGCTATGTAAGGCTTGTACACGTTCGAAGGTCCAACAATGGCTGCCGGCAAAATAGTGGGCAAAGGTAAAGATGGGCGAATGCAACTTCAATAGAAGTAGTCTGGCAATTCACCTAAACAAGTGGGTCACTCAAAAAGTGGGTAGTGCTCCTTTCATGATTGATGGTTGTGTGTTGGTGTCACAAGACTCAAGACATCCTGGCAGTTGGTCCTGGAGCACTTGGTGGAAATGCTTGCAGAGAGCAGGCGCGGAAAAGAGTGGAATCAGCAGTGTTTACTGTTGTTGGTTTCAGACAGATTATGGTAAAACGGAAGCCCAAATTTCCAGAAAATGAGAGAACACAGATTTGGAACACATTGAGTCCAAACGAGAGATGCAACGAGATGAATCCAATGTGCCGAGTCGAAAAAGGTCGATGAAACCCACCGACAGGACCCCGCGAAGCGCAACCACCGACAGGACTGCCACCAAGTCCAAGCGGGTCGCAATGGCAGAGGCGGACGCCATGGGGGCGGTGTTTTTGTGGAACACTGACTTGGCGAATGCCATATTCTTTTGAGACTCCTTTTTATATGTATCAACTAAACTATAGTTATTTGACTTGCTTGACAATTAAAACTCGTTCTATAGAATCTTTAGACAGCAATCAGATTGTTTATTGTTAAATTGGTGTCGAAATAAGGCTCCTTTGAGAATCCACCTTGAAATAGATCAACATATAGAACCTCGTAGAAGCTCACTTTATATATGTCCAATTGAAATATATTGTAAAATCTGGTCTGGTCGGAACTGGATCAACATATTGATGTTTGTGTATTAAAAAAACAAGAATGGATGATGAAGGTTTCAAGAAGAGGAGGGCTCAATCAAAGACTGGCAGGGTCTACTAACTGCCTAAGAGTAGGAGCAACCCATCCTTTTCTTGATAACAAAGAATCTTCAAGTGCATAATTGGGAACAAGCAAAGAAAGTTCTGCAAAATGCTGACAATCAGAAAAAGAACAGCCTGTTTGGACTAGGAAGAGTTTTCTGAAGGAAGATAGGAAGAATGTAATGTCTTTAGTATCCAATTTCCAAAGATATTTAAAGCTAGGAAGATATGTTTGGCTTCCAAACTCCCTCAAGAGGTTTTGACCAAGAAAGGCCAAATTGGATCTCAGGAGCTACTTCTGTGGCTGTGAATGTCTAGTTGAAATGCTCTGCGGGAACCCCCAAAACTGCATATTGGAATTAAAAACGGCATCTTCTATTGGAATTAATTCCCGAATATAGACTATATATGGAAGAGCAGGAAATGGAAGAGCAGGAAGAGTCAATCATGAGATGTAGAACCTACTGGAGCAATAGAAGAAAACTGTCGAGGCTTAAGTAGGGGATGAAGGCAGGTCGAGTGCATGTGAGAGGGATCAGCGTCTTCTGCTCCATCCCCGCCAGAAGAAGCACACCAAAACAACCAGAAATTACAAGCCAACGGATTGATCTGGTCCAATCATGTTTCCTTTTGTGTTCTTTTTTCTTGGGCTGTCATAGTATGACAGAGCTGCAGGCAAATCCAAAAACTGAAAGACAAGAAGCAAGGGACACGTGCAAAAAATGTGGTTTTGACCCTTGTTTGCAAGCCTTGGATGCTACTGCACATTCAGATACCGATTGATTGCTTTTCCTTCATGTACTCTTCCCATCATCTCTCACGCGGCTTTTTGGATGTGGTTCCTGAATCGCCAAAAAGCAAAAGAACATTCTGACTTGTAGCACACTCCAACTATCTCCAGACTCGGAGCGGCTCAGGTGGGTGTCTTTATGGGCGACACCTCCGCTGCGCTCCTCACCAAACGTTTGCCCTTGGAAACGGTCCTGTGCTCAGATGCGCTTGCAGCCGCCGTGGCTGGTTGGCCCGCAGCAAAAAAGAAAGCTCCTTCAGGTGCATTTGGTGGACCCCTGGGACAGCAACGATGTCTTCAAGGCAAGAGATCCTCAAGAAGAAATGGAGAAAGAAACGTGAATCATCCCTCAAAATTATGAACTGTCTACCTTCTGATACAAACCTCTCAGAGTCTCGGGAAAAAGACGGCTTTTCCTTGCGTCCGTGCCCGGGGCAGGCCACGGTCATCGAAAAGCGGGGCGAGTTGACGAGCGCGGAGGCGACCTTGAAGGATTTCCGAGCGGTGACTTCAACTAGGGAGACCCTGAGGCTGTCACGCCCTACAAAGAAAACCAACCGAAGCCAGCCAGGGTGATCTCAATATGCATTTGATCAATAAACCCCCGCAATTGAAGTGTAAATTTATTTTTATACAGATGGGTTGAGACACGCTTTGAGACAGACAAAGACGAAGATGATGAGGTTCCGTGAGGTTCCGAAACATCCTTGTGGAGAGTTGAGGCTCGACGACATGTGGAGCAGCGCTTTGCACCCCTTGCAGCGACGCTCGGCGATGATCAATACGCTTGGCGAAATGTCTCTTCTGGAAAGATAGATTCAAAATGCTAAGCTTCACATCGTGATGATCAAAGCATGTCAAGATCCTGTCTGCACGCGTCAAGGCGGGTCATTTTCTGAAGCCCAAAGCTGCACGGTGTCAACATGAAAAGTGGGCTAAGTCCGCAAAAGCAAAGTCTAAATCCTGGATATGCTATCGAGAAGTTAGGAACTTAGCACTGTGATTCATGTTTGTTCGTTGTCGCACAGGGGGTGGCGTGGTAGCAGTGAGCATCCAACAAAACGACCGCAAGAGAACTTGAGACTCCACGCCGACTCAGAAGCATGCAGCTTCGCGAGAGGGGGAGTCTACCCAATGGTGGAGCCCCTATGCCGATCCGCAAGTCTCAAACTCTTGCAACTAATCAATTACAGCCCAACTGCAAGACTGTACCTGCTGAAAAGCAAGATCTTGAATACAATCTAGAGGGCCAGCCCAATTTGTGGATGCATTTGACATGGTGTCCGACGGTGTCCGAGAAAGAAGGTTTGTCGGGCCGCGTTTGACAAGCTTTCTGCTTGTTGTTGGTTTGGACTGATCGGAACGCTATTGGCTACTGGGAGCGATGAGAGAAACCTGTTGAAGTGCTATGTTCAAGCTGACTCTCATTGGGGTGAAGGGTTGAGGGTTTGATGTGTGGCCACATGTCCTTTGTAGCAGCCAGCCGAGGGGTGGCTGGTTCTGAGATCTGGAACACAACTTTTGTAGTTTGTCTGCACCTGATGCCAACCACTTGAAATCTCAAGTAAAATCCAACAAGAATTCTGCCAGGCGTGCAAATTTTCTGTGCTTCCAATGTCATCACGCCTAATCGATTCAATGCTGAGGACATATTGCTTTGATGGTCAGGCAGGCATTCATCGCCCTTATCAGGTGCCGTTCTATGCCGTTCGCCAAGCTGCTAAGCTTTCGGCCGTCAGATCGTTAAAAGAAGCCGACCATCTACTCTGCTTTGAGCAGAGCCGACCATCTACTCTTTGTTGAGACGTATGCATTTGATGCACTGAACTTGCTGATCTGCTTCTCCATTGGTCGGTCGCTTTTTTCAGGGCCAGGCGGTGCCGCGGAGCGGCCCCTGGAAGAAGGTGGAGCGTTGTGGTGGTGCCGTGGAGGACGGAAGAAAGCGTCAGTTCTACTGGTGGGAAGACATGGGAAAGTCCCACTGGTGGGAACACTTTTTCAGGATAAACCTGGCACTCCACGAGTGTCTCAGCTGCACTGGGTTCGAAAGAGACATCTCTCAGCTGCACTTGAATTCGGTGAGTTTGTTTCTTCGTGGTGAGGTTGGTATCCATGCCACCAGATCGGTTGCAGCTAGCAAACGTCTTCCGCTCGGTTCTGCAGACAGGGTTCGTGCTGACACCCCGCAGACTGATGCCAAGACTCTCAACCAACCGGTTGAAGGAGTAAGACAGTAAGACACACATTGAGACCAATCAGGTGGGCGATTCCTTTTTTCGACCTGATAAGTCCTCAGGAACATTTGGGTGTCTAACCACTCTCTCCAATCAGGTGTGCTGACGGGATCTCTTGATCTCGTGTTCATTGATGGTGCCCACGATTATGACTCTGTATCTCAGGAGCGAGTGTTGCTTTGCGTTGGCCGGAAGAGGGTAATTCCTCGCTGACCCCATACGCACTTGCTTCTTGTATGATCATGTACTAGTATATAATTATATACAGGTTCTGTCAGATCTCCACAGCCACCAGAGCCTGAAGTTGCCGGAGACGGTAGAGCCTTAAAGCTTAGGGCGGATACTGGGGCTTCAAAACCCGGAAATCACAAGAGTTCATCGAAGAAGAAAGCCACCACGATTGCAATGTAGCATTGCAGAATGTAATTTTGCCGGCCTAAGCAAATCGCCATGGAGAGTGCTAAGCGTACCAGCACTCCTTTTGCTCGAAGAGCCGCTTCTGGTACAACTGGCACTGTTTTGGGGTTGCTGATCCTTGTCAGTGCGGGGAGATGCTTTGCCGGATGCGGAGACCAGAAATCTGGTCGACTCACAGGTGATGTCGTTTTCGGAAGACGAGGAGCCCCAGCACCCCGAGGAAGCAGTGAACTTCAAAGTGTGTCACCAGCAGATGCAGCAAATCAGCCAGTGGACGAAGAAAGTTCGGAAAGACGAATGGGGGTCAAAGATGGGGTGGCCGTGATTGCTGGCAGTGCCTTGGGTGGAGGCTTTTTGGCACTTCCATTGGTTACAGCTCCGATGGGAATCATGCCATCAGTTCTGGGTCTTGCAATGGCATGGGCATTTCTGGCAGCATTGTCTGCAGTTTTTGCAGAGGTCTCAGCATTGACTCTGAAAGACAAAACTGTCGAAACAGGGGACACCAGTCGCTTGCTCGTCGAAGATGAAGGTGTCTCAATCGTTTCGGTTGCACAGACTACACTGGGGGATTCTGCCGCTATTCTTTGTTCTGTGGCTTTCCTCTTGCAAATGTTGGCGATCGTCACTGCTCAAGTCGCCAAGTCCGGCGAGTTGCTGCAGACCTTCATCGGCTTGCCCTACATTGCAGGATGTCTCCTTCCAAGCATTTTGCTGGGCGCTTTTGCCTTTGAGATGCCTGCCAAAATAGTGGAGAGAACGAACACGCTTCTTACTGTTTCCTGGTTTTGCTTCAATAACTTAACATGATTTTGTATAGTTGCTTTGCCTTATGAGGGATCCTCTCAAGCAGGGAATGAATTGATGGCATGGTTGAACGAATGCTCATTCAGTTGAGCAGTACATCCAAGTGTTCATTTTGGGTCTTTCAGCAAGTCACAGGTCTCAATGGTGCTTGGCTTTGGCCTTTTGGTCGTCAGCACTTCGATGAGCAAACTGTCAAACCTTGGGGTTTTGCTTGGCGCCTTGCCCATGGGAAGCTGGGGTTCTCTATTGCCAACAGTTGGGACTACAACCTGGGCATTGCCTATTTTCTTCAATCTCTTGTGTTACGGCCAATCGGTTCCACTTGTTGTGGAACGTATGGGTGCGGACAGACCTTCGAGGGTTCAGACAACCATTCTGCTGGGATCCCTCGTGCCCTTTGTGCTTGGAGTTATTTGGGTGTGCATTGCAGCATTACTGGGTTCTGATTTAGATATATCAGATGGAAAGGATCCTGTTCTTCAACTGGTTCAGGGTCCGGCAAGCATTGCACTTCCAGTGCTTTTGCTGGCTGCAGGTGCAATCGGTTCAACCCTTATTGCCTCCTACTTAGCCCTGGGACAGTTTGCAGCGGATGCCTTGTGTGCATCCACTGGCCAGTGCTCCATAGAGGACAATCAGCGGGCCAAAATGGCCTCGGTGATAGTTCCAGCTGCCACTGCTTGCATCGGCCCACAGCTCTACTTGCCGCTTCTCTCTTTTGCAGGTGCGTTCCCAGCTGTGCTTCTCTATGGCATTTTGCCACCAATGGCTTTGCTGCTCCGAAGAGAGAAGAGTGGTCTAGGCAGGGCAGGAGAAAGAATGTGCATTCAAAAGTACACAGTTACTCAGTTACTCACTGACTCACAGAAAAATGATAAAAAGAGAAACATGCGGAAAAACAAAGCCTAACACGTCATCAACGCAGGGGATTCCACACTGACTTGATAGGCTTTGCTTCGTTTTCGCGCTGCGCATGCTCATGAGGTCGAAAGGCGGTGCTTGGGGCTTTGACGGCCATCTCCTCCGTGTTCCTTGCGGAAGTGGTGCTGTTTTGATTTTCGGAATAGGTACATGAATCTATGTCGTATATTTAGTAGTTATGCGGAATAGGTCAATATTCTTGAAATACCCCGACATAGAGCGAATTCAGGCTGTAGGGGCTGGGGTAGGTTGGAGAAAAACGCCATGAAAGGTCATGAAGCATGAGGCGATACAACTGTGTCTCAAAATTGCAAGCCCCGCCGCCCCATCCAGACATATTCAGACTCACTTCGCCAAAAACTACTGGTACGGGCACTATGGGGTAGATCATCTGCACCAGTTTGCAATTCACCAGTTTGACATTCCTGCACCGGCAGTTTGGCACAGAAAACACCGGTAACGGCAGTAACGCTCGGCCTCACCAAAGTCCCGTTTTGACTCGCCTGAGGTTCTTGCTGGTGAACGCTTGGCTTTGGCTCACTGCTTCGCTCGCCTGAGATCGGCCTACACATGCGCATGGCGTGCAGAAAAGAACTCAGTGAGAGACTCTCAGTGTTCGGGAGACTCCAAGAAGGACAGACCGGGGAGAAAAGACCGAATTCCAAGTCGTTGCCATAGAGTCATGGTCCAGTTCCCCTAGTCTGATCCAGTAGAATACGCGAAATCAATGCCGTGATCCTGCATTTTGGTGCACAAAGTATCTTCCCCACGTGCCTGTGCATATCTATGCATACTAATTCGTGCCAGTCGGAGGAGGGGTTTGCTTTGCTTCAGAATTCTGCTGCGTGCGACTCCGAAAAAGGACGTCACATGTCGCTTGAGCTGTAAACTACCGCATCGGAGTTTCTGTGTGTCTCAAACTACAGTTCTGCTTTTCTTGACGTGGTCGACCAAGAGCTGTGTGTTTCAAAATGTTCAGCACCTCCGAATCACAGGACTTGAAGGCTTGGTGGCCCAAGATTCGCCCGGGTGGAGTCATGGCAGGAGACTTCGGAACCCGTTCGTGGAATCGCGCGAGGCACGTGCCGTGGCGTTTGGAAGCACGTTCCAAAAGAAACCTCAGGACACGACTTTTCAATGTCTTTTCCGGGCCTCATGCGCCGGAATCTGAGTGCAAATTCAGAAGTAGGAGAAACATGGAGAAACAGCTGCAATGGTTGCTTGATGGCATAACTAGATATCTCCAAGGAGCTGTGTTGGAGTTCGTTTCGATGCTCCCCGGGCGCACAGAGGTGCCTATCAATGAATCGGGTGGAGTGGATTGACTGGCGCAGCAGTGCCCACGGGTGGGCTTCACGATGTCAGGTCTACCTGGATACCGACTACAGCTTCTGGTTTTTCAAGCCCGAGGACCTCCCGAAGCGGCATGCGCCAGGCTCCTGAGGAAAACGGCCGAAAAGAAGAAAAATCGCCCGCCGAAAAGAGACCATGGCAGGGAAAGAGCTGACACGCCATTCCTTTGGCACCCATGTTATTTTCATTATTTTTCTCGATTTATCAAAACATAAGAATCTAATAAATAGTAGCTAGCACATATTGAAGGATATGATTTATGCAGATTTATATATATATATATAATATATATAGAGATTCAACTAAATGATGTTACATTTCTATGAATTACTATATACTCATTCTTAAAATATCCTTATTTTCGTCGCCCCATATTCGTCGGAAACGACGGGTGGCCTCTTTTCAGGTCATGGCGGCCACGCTTGGAGGGTGGCACCCGAGGTCACAAAGCACGAGCACGCGTGTCCTGACGGCGACGGCGACGCCGCACAACGGCAGAGACCTCCTGGGACCCGAAAAAATGTGACTGGAAAGCTGATGACTGGATGCATCTGGATGCTGCCTCGATACAGCTATAATAATAACGACAGCTTTTTGAGGTGTTCGGATGTGTTTGGTGTTTTGTCAAGCCAGAGGCCAACAAGGCCAGTGTCGCAGCACAGTTCATTGCTTTGTATGCTTTGTCATCTCGTTTGCCATTTCGGCTGCAGTGGTTTATTCGCTAGGCAAAAGATCTATCCGACAAGCTTGCATGTCATTTGACGGCAAACAGTAAACTGCCATGTGCTGGCATTATATAAGACTTCAAGAGCAAAGACCAGTGCAGAAGCGTGTGCATGTGATTAAATTGTGATAACTTTTCTTTGTTGTTTGCTAGGACTTATACCATAATTAAGACACTTCTAGAGAACACAGCAGCTGCTCGAAGCCGCTCTTCTCCATTTAAGGCGCGGCTGAACGCTTCAATCACTCGAAGGACCGAGGAAAAGCATTGCGGAACACGGCGCCTCAGGTCATGCCACGCTTTCAGGATTTCGTGGAGGCGTCTCGATTGCTCGACAAGACGACTGTTTTGTGATCGAGATCATTTGAGTTTTGCGAAATCCTAGGATGAGATCCAATCACTAAGTGCTAAATCAGGAGATCGTATCAGATGACGAGGCCACGACCAAGTGAGAACGGACGAGATCGAGCTTTCGTTCCGATGTTTGTGGGGTGGACGTTTGTGGTAGAAGGGAGATCAAGGGCCAAGGGAGATCAACTCTTAGCCCTTCAGGAAAGCAACAAGGCCAACAGGCGCGGAAACAGCATGAAACAGCAATGCATTTGTGTTGTTTTCGTTGATTTTGATGGAGTCGTGTGAAAACCGATGCGCCCTTGAACGCACAGGGCGCCTGTGAGCAGTGAGCGTCCCAGGGTGTCAAGCTATCCCGTCACGTTGCCACCGCCCACAGCATGCACATGGCACTCACAGCTTCGCGGAACAACCCGATCTCTCAGCGAAAGGCTGAAGGTCTACGGCCATCTGTGATCTCTCTGTAACTAGAAGCTATGCACGGCGGAGGCCATCGCTAGGTTGGAGGCCATCGCTAGTAACAATTAAGCTTTCTAGTAACTAGATTTAACTAGTAAACTAGTTACTAGAAAGCTTTATTGTTACTAGTAGCGAACTGAGGTACTTGTACTCCTTCTGTTGGCTCAGCTCCTCGTGTCGGACAGCCTGTGACACAAGAGGCGAGCCCGGACGATGGCTATGGCTTAATTCATTGATGAATGGGTCAAAACCTGGAGCTCCCCACACAATGTAGCTGTCAAATCATGTCAAATCCATTTTGGGTGTGTAGCTCAAGACATGGGAGACCTCCCAGACGTTCCGACCCCCTAGATGGAAAATAGACCAGTCTACCTAGTCGACCCATCGGGCCAGGGGTGTCTCCCTATTCAAACACACACCCATATGTGACCCACACGGCAAGTGCATATGGCATAGAGCGCCTCAGCTGTCGGTTGAAGGGTTGCTCCATAAATGTTGACATGATACCTGATGCTAGTAGCTTATGATGCTAGTAGGGGGAGGCCATCGCAAAGTAGGTTGGAGGATGTTGGAGGCCATCGCTACTAGTAACAAGAAGCTACTAGGAACAAGGACGCTATTAGGTGGAGGTAGCTTATTCTGTTTCAGGGTCGATACATCCCGATACATCTGGTGTTTGAAGCACATAGTCGTGGCTTCGCCAGTGTGTCTCAACATCAGAAATAGTTGGGGGATGAACGTGGGTAGACTCGCCAGACCTATATGGCTACTCATCCAAAATCGCATGTGCTTGATTGAGGGTACAGTGTAGACGGAGTAGACAAAAGTTACGCATATGAATCTGCATCTCATGTAGGTGATTGCCTTGTCAACCAATGTGCGGAGCCCCAGCCACTGAGCCCATACTGCTTGGACGTTTGAGACGCGACGGAGTCATACACCTCAGGTCAATCGTGGCAACATGAGCCAAGAGGCCTGACGACAAGGGTGAGAAGCAAGCTGAGCAAGCTGAGTTGAACTGGTGATAACTGGTGTCACAAGGCCTTCAATCAGAAGTTGACCCATTTGCAGATTCAAAGCTCGGAGCTTGGAATCTGAGAAAACGTCATGTTAAATTGCCCTCATGTTTTCCCAGCATGACGAAGATGATTCTGGATGACAACAGCCAAAAGCAGCAAAGACTTGCCAATGACTTGCCGCTGACGAACGCCATGCGTTCGGATGCACCGTCTTCATGTGAACGGATTCCTCCCACATTGCCCAGCTGAGACAAGCGAATTGGTGATCTAGAAGGGTTGAAGCTGGTGCCTGGTGTTTACGTCCTGTGCGCCCGTTCTTCGCAACAGCGATCCTCCGGACAAACGTTCCTGGAACGGCTTAATGCGGAAGGTACGCTTACGACAACCTCATCTCGAGCCTTGCAGGAATTCAGAGTTTGAGGTGCCGTTGATTGGCCGATGTTTTGCTTGGTCACCGAATGTTTTGCTTCGTCCAAGATGCATTTTCGAAAACAATCGTCCGATTCTGAAGAATCGGGCAAGTTTTGGAAGCGCTCCAAGTTCAGGCGTTTGCAGCAGCTCTACCTGCAAAACAATAGGATAACAACCATGGCAGGGCTCGAGGCGCCTTGATTGTTTTTTTTCCCCTATGCAAACTGCTGAAACACATGGACCAAGTGAGTTGATTTGCAGCGCAACGGAAAAACAAAAATTTAAAACATTGGCTCAGCTGAAACTCGCCCGCCCGGCCCATCGGCCTGAAAAAGCCAAGGACTGTCAGACGGGGTTCTGAAGGTTCAAGATTGAATGTAGACAAGTTGTTTCAAGGGTCTTCAGTCTTGATGGTCATAGACGGGAATGACTGGAAGAACAGACGAGATTTCAAAGCTAAAGCATCAAAGTTCACAGGACCTCCCCTAATCACCAATTAAAGGAAGATCCTTATTGAAGATTCGTGAACTGTCATGATCATAAGTAGTTGACCTGGCAGAAGTCATAGATTCTCGTGAGCTGCAGGCTGTAGCTCTACTCCTCGCACAACTCACCTCATCCCCAGTCAAAATGATTCTAAACCTTCCAAAACTTGCTGCAGTCTGGATGCCAAAGATCCTGGCAAGAGAGCTCTTGGGAGGGGGGGCCCCAGCTTGAATATCTTAGAAGCGTGTAACATCACCAGGAGCTATGTTCAGTGCCGCCAACAGCGGCGGCGCAGTTGCCGCTGCAACTGGGCAGTGTGCTAAGTTGTGATGTTGTGCCCGCCACAACATGATTCAAATCAGTGAAGCTTCTCATGCCGATGGAACATGATAGAAAACCCATTTGCTGCATGAAGCCTAGGATGGATGGGCAAGGACTTATCGGTGGGCAGGCCCACGTTTTCAACACAAAGATGCGCAAAGGGTTGCGTTTGTGTTGCAAAGAGGAGCCCCCATCACCATCCATCACTCATCTCCATTCATGAGCCAATCAGGGTGTTGCGGGCATTGAGAAGACCATGAAATGGAAGCTGTTCTTCTTCATTGGCTCGATCCTCAGACTGTGAAATGTCCCTGAGACCACACTGAGAATCATTACGTGCATGTCGCAGGATCTGTGATCGTCCTTGTGACTGGCGTGTCCTGCACCCTGTACTGGACCATGTTTGTTTCCTCCATTTCGCCTTGCTTCAGAGAAATTAGGCCCGAGTGCCCATTTGATGGATGGAAACTAATTAAACTCCATTGCGATCACAAAACAACATGGTCCTTCAGAGAAGCAGACTCCGTTGGATCGACAACCACATGGGGTGCTGCTTTTGCTGAAGCTTCGGCTCGCAGGATGATTCATCTTCAGTGGGTCAAGTTCTTAATTCGGATCAAAGGTTAGTGACTGTCATGTGGATACTCGCTCAAAATCTAATATCCGGACGGCACACAACATGCCCAAAAGTTGTGCTAAGGCTCCTGCTCAGTTCATGACCACCTTGTTCCTTTTGTTCTTCGGGATTTTGATGGTTGTGAGCGGCCTCAGGTGTTCACATTCAGTTGCACAGGTAATTTGTGGGCTCTGCTTGATTGTTCCACGCCTGCTGTTTGGCCCCAGCAAAAGACAGACTTGTAGAAGGACGGGCCGGCGGCAGAAGCGCGATGGCTGCGAAGCCAAAAGTCAGCTTCAAGATTACCTTGGCGTCTGAGAAAACCCAGCCATTCAAGGCCTATTAGTGGTAGAAGTGCTGCACTGGTTGGTAGGAGGGATGGAGTCGGATCGTGTATCAAAAATCCCAGCAGCCCTTGTGGGCTTCTCCAGTTCGTTCAGGTCATCACTGTCCCAGAAGAAGCTCCCTTCCTTGCAGTCGTCAAGTTCGCAGCGGAGGAGTTCAAGGCGGGTGTTGGCCACATTTAGACATGTTTTAATGTGTTTGGCTTTGGTTTTCTGCCAGATCCTTGGTGATAAAAATGTCATGCGTCCGTTCTCTCCTTTGTTTCACGAACATCGTGCATGTTCATGCTATTCTCATCTAAGTCCTGTTCTCTGCATGCACGCAGGTCAACCCTTCCACAAGCGCTGTGATCACGAATGACGGAGTCGGTTTGAATCCGAACCAGACAGCAGGGTCAGTCTTCCTCAAACACGGTGCAGATCTGAAGCTGATCCCCCGAGACCGCGTCGGAGCTGCGGTGAACACACCGAGGCAGCGATAGACCACGAAAAAGCCGCAAAAAAAAGGTAGTAACAAAAAGCTATTAGAAACAAGTGCCACGCTAGTAGTAACAAGTGCCTTACTAGTAGTAACAAAAAGCCATTAGAAGCAAGTGAGACAAGACGTCACCAAACAAGTCACATCTCATGCCGCACCATGGACTCTTCGCAGCCTAGCAAGCTGACTATAGATAGACCAGAGACCAGTTGCTGCTACTGAACTGCCTTTCCAAGGTTCTAGACTTTCCAGTTCCCAATCCAAACCCACGGGACAATCCGCCAGCAGCTCAGCGGTTTGCGGGAGCTTTCCCACACCTTTGTATTTGTTGTTTCTGCTTATCTATCTTTGCGAGCCTTTGAAGTGGGTCAAGGACATTAGTCAGCATCAGGGATCACTGCTACAAGTTTGTCCTGTTCATGCCAATTCCTCAGACTGGTGCGTCAAAAACGCAGAATGGGTAACGCTACAAAGCTGACTTACCTTGGCATGATTTTTGAGGACTCGCTTCATGGGCCGAGGCGACTTGATTCAAAATCTGATGGCGTTTATATAAGTTTTATATAAGTGGTTTAGTAGTTTTATTAACCTTTTGTCCACACAGACTTTGCCAGGTATGTGGTATCTGTTCTTGGCCACAATGGTGCCGTGCTTGGAACTGGATGCTTGCGGCTTTTATGGAAAGCCATGTACGGGCGATGTGTTATATTGCCAGACTGACTGTATGGAGAATCGCTATCTTCGCTAGAAAGATAGCGCTATCGCATGCTATCGCTATCCCATTGTCCTCATCAAGATTTCCCAGTTCTTGCGCACTTTTGGGTCAATGGAGTCAATGGCCTTGCAGTACTTCGTAGGTCTTGTGCCGATGCTATGCAGTCACAGAACCAGTCACATCGTCCAAAGCTGGAACTAATATCCTGACGTTTAGGCTGTTCAGGTGATGTATGCATGTCACGCATGTCCTCAGGTCTTTGCTGCTTTGTGGGACACCAACATCAGCTGGTTCTTTGGAGGTGAAGCTGGTGAAGCTGCTAACAAACGCGGGCGTTACAAGCATCGCGCGAGCATCGCGCGACGCATCACTTGTTCTGCGTGACGCATCGCGCAGGACTCTTCACCCTCTACTTGGTGGGGTCGGGCACCGAAGGTGTAACCGAGTTAAAAATGGGCATCGAAGGTGTGCCGCAAAGCTGTGGAAAATGGACCAGGCCCTGGCGGCCCTGACGGTGAGTCAATTCTGTTGAAAAAAGACTTGGTTTAAGGCTGGGCGTGGTGGCTTTATGGAAAGGCACGTTTGAGATCGTTTTGGGGGTCCACCAGATTCTGAGAAAACCCAGGTTTCACAAGAATGTAACACACGGAAACGCACTGTAACACAGTTTGTAGGTCTGTGTGGAGTGGTTCCGGAGCAAACTCTTCAATACTCAGTAATACTCAGTTTCAGGTTGGCTGATCAGCATGCAGCTGGACAAGGCTCGAAACATCCTCCTCAGAGAAAAAGGCCCGGGCCAGTTGCGTTACTTCCAGGCTTAAGGTGGCGCAAGTACTCGACTACCATGCATCTTAATGATTCTTAATGCATCTGAGGTGTCCATCCCTTTTTCTCCTTCTGAGAGATGTCGTTCTTGGGGCTTCGCATATTGAATCAAGATGGATCAAGTTGCTTGTTTGAGGTGAAATCAGTAATTGGAGCAGGAAAAATGATTTTGCTCTCATCGTCCAATCATAGACTTCCACTCTTTGTCCGAAGTTCTTCCCTCTTCCGAACCCCCCACATTCTGCCCACATCACGGCGGGACCTCGCGCGTGCGGCAGAAACGGGTGGAAGCCTTGATCACTACATTGCTCCGACTCAGCAAGGCCCACCGAACACGTCGGTTTGCTGTTTCGGCGAAACGTCGCGGCGTTTCAACGTGACGATTCCTTCGGGAGTTCTGAAGTTGGGTGTTTGTTTTGAGAGAAGGGTGTTTGGGCGTCTTTTTGGTATGTCCTTGCATGTGTTTCTCTGGGTGCGCATCTTTGCGGCTGCCAGGGCTTAGTAAGGCTCAGTTCAAGGCAAGGCAGTATTGTGCAATGGAAGATTCGGTTTGTCAGATTGAGTCAACACATTCTTGTGAGGCTCTTCTCAAGAGTCTCACTAATGACGAGGTGGGGCATCAAGTCATCGTGTTGATGAAGGATGATTGTGCGATGTGCTCCACGGCCAGGAGATGTTCTCTGACGATGATTTGGACTACATCCTGAATGCATTGTTGAAGCCTCATGTTTCCTTGTTGCTGCAGCAAAAGCACGGATAGTTTGGAAATGTGGATTCCAAAACGGCTGAAATGCCTCGGCCACTATGCTTCATGTCTTTGCTTCTTTTGTGATGATGATTCTGAAATCTACCTCTACTGCTACTACAGAGGTTACGCCGCCTCCTCGTGTCCTCCGACCGCCCTACTGCGTATTTATAGCTCTACCACACCCCGTGCTACTTTTTGTTTGTTCCTACCGCCATAGCTTTGATTGGTGCTTTTACTTTTGTTCTTACTCTATCACCATGGTCATCCTTTTGACACAATCCCTGGGCCCATCCCATCACCCTTCGATTCCATCTGAAACGGCATGAGGAGCTTTTTGCCTTCTAGCGATGGCATTGTGAGCCGGGAGGAGAGTGGGTTTCAGGTTAACACGTGCTGTCGCGGGGGGTTGAATGCAAGTGCAATGATGTGGGTACGGCAAGAAAACTACAGAGCCAGGGAAAGTGGGAAAGTTCTACACAATATACTTGTTTCTAGCTATACTCATATTATGAGACTCATATCCGAATAAGACAGCAGAACTTAAGCAGATCAGGTGGTGCCAGAAGCGAACTGTCCAGGAGTTCAACTACTGGGTTGGACCTGGCCTCATGCTCATGGTGTGAATTCAGGACGACAGAGCCACTGGAAGTATCTTGGTCCTTTCGGGTCAACTCGCCAAGAAGGGTACTTGGTGCAGATAAGACTTGACAGATGCCAGCTGAACAGCTTGAATCATGCAGGACTGCATAGTCCGGTGTGCATGAGGAGAGCAGTGAGGGTTCTGCACGGGGCAATTCTTCAAGATGCCAATGCGCTGACAGAGCTTTCCCAGCCTTCATTCAACTTGATTCTCCACGTGTGAACGATTCGCCACGCGTTCCTCCGCCGGATGTAGAGACCGTACAGTACGCAGCAGTGCAATGCCATAGGTGCATCAGGCTGCAACTGAGGTTTCACTCGATGGGTTCGCAGTAGAAGGACTGCACATCCATCATGTAATTTGTGCAGGCTCTGGGCATGTTGAGTGAGAGATCTATATAGTGAATTATAGTGATTGATTGTTGTTGGCAAGAATGTGTGAAGAAGGAGCTAGAAGTTCGTTGTGTGTGCTCAGCATGTAGAAACTCCGGCAGCTCCAGAGAAAAAGTCCGGAAGTGTCAGTCAAACAAAGCATAATTCTCAAAGTCCACAAGGACTTGTAATTACGGCCGTTTGCCAGGACAAGCATGACTTTGCTGAAAACGACCTATTCAGTGTTGGCCTTCCTGCTGAACACACCTTTTATTTCTGCAGGGTCTCAGCATGCTGCAGAAGTTGCACCTGGGACATAACAGGTCCAACACTGAGAAAATCCCATCCCAACGTGCACGTGAAGTCTAGCTGCCTAGCCAAGCCAGGTTAGCCCGGATTGATTCACTGGAGAGCTGCACCCAATTGGAGGAGTTGAGTCAACCGTCAAGGATTCTTGTAGGACAAGATTACCCATGCCACCCATGCTGCCACCCCACATATCCAATGAAATGACCTGAAGCCTGAAATGACCCACATATCACATAAAGGATTCTTGTAGGTCATGTCTTTTCAGGTCTTTCTTCGGTCATCTTCCAATCCTGTGGAGTCTTTGGTGCCAACGGAACACCAGGAGCTGCTGGTACCTCATCAGCAACCGCCGGTCGAAGCACCACTCCAGGTCGGCTTGTCTTGTGACAGCACGAGGGCCAATATCCCAAGGTAAAATAGATTGATAATACTTTTAATTTCGAAAGCCAGCCGATAGGCTAGGCTTGAGCTCTTAGACCGAACGAAGTGAGTAAAGGGGGTGTGGGGGGGGTAGGCCGCGAAAAGGCACCATTTGAGAGGGTGAACCCGGAGCTTGCCTGGGGAGAGCGCTCCAAAGCGAGGGTCAGAAAAGCAGTGAAAATGGGGTCTGGTGATGCGAGTTGATGCAATGGACGCCGAGTAGTGCATCATTAGCATCACGAAGGGCTGTGGAGGCTATTTGGACAATGGGCATTGAGCACTGGAGTGGAGACAGGCACCCATGTACAGAGCAACCATCCTAGTCTCTACTATACCTGTACCGTCGAGCGGATGCTTCTCGCGGCGTCCACGTGCACCGAACGTTGTTCCGGCTTGGCCGCGCAGCTAGATAGATACAGAATAGATAGATCGATAGATAGATAGACAGATAGATAGATACTGGGTGTATGTATTGGCGCAAGTATGGTTGTTGGTTGGCAGCGACAAGTCACTATCAGAACAGGGGCCCGTGTAGATAGCAACTTGGTGGCGTGAAGAACTTGCTGCTTAAGGATTGGTTCTAGTCACGGATCTATGCCATATTTTTAGATTTGGTGACACCAATGCTGAGACATATAGTTCCTGCCTTCCTCCTAGTCATCCTGTCAGACCAGTCTCCTTGGATGTATTGGGGCAAGTATGGTAATTGGTTGGCAGCGACAAGTTGCTATCAGAAAAGGACCCCCTGTAGATAGCAACTTCTCTGTGTTTGATGTCTCTGTCGTTTATGACTCTGTGTCTCTATGGTTCTGTGTCTCTATGTCTCTGGGAAGAGGGTGTAGCTGCAACGTATGATTATTTTTTGGGTGGATCAGTGGCATAAGCCCAAGGAAAGTCCCCAACAGCAAGAAGCGCCACTGAGACAGTCTCTTCCCTGTCCAAGCCCTCCTCTGGAGCCTTGTCTGTTTTTCAACCTGCTCCGGAACCTTCTTCCGAACCTTTTGCTATGTAGCAAATGACCCTCTCGTCTGGCGGCTGCTGGCTTTCGTTCCCCCCCTTCTCAGGCTTCTTGTTTCTAATAGCCTCTTGCTCCTAGTAGTAAGGCCAGGAGCCCCTAGAGGCGTTCTTGCTCCTAGTAGCGATGCCCTTTGCTCCTAGTAGCTTCTTGTTGATAATATTGATATCGCCTCCAATCAACTAGAAATGGCCTCCATCCCAAAAGCAGCCTCCAACCTACTAACGATGGCCTCCAACCTAGGGGGCCCATCGATTGTTGGTGGAATCCATTGATTGCTTTGCATCGCTTGAAGTTCGCTCAGTTCTGTCCCGCGTCAATGGCGGCCATCTCATCGACTTTGGTCCTCCTCAACACAGCTGGGAACCGACTGAAGGAGCATCATTCTCTTCGCTATTTGGGTTTGTACTTTAATAGGGAAGCCCTTCACCAATGGGTTCTCCCTATTCTAACACACATCACACCCATATGAATTCCTGGAAGACCTTGGAAGAACAGTTTTTGGAGCTTTGAATGAGCAACCGCTTTCAGGAGCTTCAGGAGCTCCTTCCGCTCAGACGTTTGACCAGTCTGGATTTATCGGAAAACAAGATACCTCAGGCGCAAACAGATTGGTCTCATCTTTTATTGCTGACTGTTGATGTTTGTTGCCTTTTCTGGCCTTCAGAGGTGACTGGCTGTTGATCATCGGTTATTTTAAAAAAGGGCTGGAGATCTTTGACCTCGGTCACTGTCACGGCAGGTTGACCCATCAACCGTGTAACAAGACGGGGAGTTTCGATTGGACCCTGCCATCTCTTCCATCTTTGGGCGCAGGTGGGCGAGCTCAAGGACCTGATCTCAGGAGCTGGGTTGGAGGGCCGGGGATGGAGAGAGCACAAGAATCACCAGGTTTGGAGACCAGCCCAGATGAGCTGAGCTGTTTGAGACCCGCCCCAATGATCATACACTGCCTGAAAACTAAAACTCTGCTCATATGAGACGTGTGTCATGTATCTTGGAATGCTGTTCTGTTTTGCTTCCATCACATCACTCCTGCTGAGAGTTGTTGTCGCCACACTTCTGCTTGAACCGAGGAATGAGTGGTTCAACCTACCAGTGAATTCTTGTACTTCAAACCCAGCCCAGTACAACATACTCGTACCAGGTTTGTATGGAAATCCAGGGCTGGGTTTCCATGTACCCTTGTACTGTACTTCAAAATCCATGAAGCGAAGCCAGGGCTGGGTTTGAAGTACACCGGGTACTCCGGTACAATGAGTTGACAGCTACACCGGTACAATGAGCTGCAGTGCAGTTGGAATGGCCAGGAGACTGTTTGCGTCGCATCAATCTATTGGGGTGCGGGAGCCGAGCAACTGCTAGCACTGTCAAGCTTGGGCTGGGATTATGTTGAAGATGTTGGCCATCGTTGCTAGGGTGGAGGCCATCGCTCTTAGGTTGGAGGCCACCGCTATTATTAGGTTAAAAGGCCTACTTGTTGGCTCTAGATGCTGTCCACTCACACCTGTGTTCATGCTGGCTGCTCAGGAATCCCTTTGCCGCCCAAGAGCGTCGCTATCGAACTGCTGCCGCTTCGCCTCAACTCGATGCGTTTCCCAAAAAACTGGTGATATGTGACCAATTTCGAGGTGGTCCTTTGCAGCACTGCCATCGAGGACGGATTTGTCTCCGGCCGGGAGACGTTCCATGTCCATGAAGCGGTGGACATTGCATACGTAAATGTCGCCTGGTTCCAAGGCATAGAAATGCCTTTACTTTTGTGACATGTGATATATCTTTGTTTTCTGATGTTTTCTGAGTCACCAATTGATCTACTTACTCTGGGACAAGCTCCGATAGAAGCCTGTCGTGGATTGCAGAACACGGGTCCTGTTCTCACAACTACAATAGTAGGTTTGCATGACCCGTTCATGGTTTCTCCCAAAGAGCGCATGGGGATATTACTGTAAGCCAAGGTTGTGCGCACAGAGCCCTAACTTGCCAATCATGTTAAACACGTGATACATCCCCGGTGACATTTGTAGTACCTTTGCGTAGTGGTGGAGGTGTTTTTGCCATCAAAGACGTTTGCTGCTTGAGGTGGTTGGCAGGGGCAAAAAGTACAAACATGTGAAGGTCACTGAGCAAGATGCTGGCAAATGTATCTCCAGGCAAAACGGACACAAAATACGAAGGGAAAATGCGAGACGGTCCACAGAACTTTCGGCAACGTGTTTAGCGGCGATGGCTTCGCCAAAGCGGCTTTGAGGTTCATAGAAGTTACATGAAGTTACTCTCTTGATCTTTTCTGCACTGTCTTGGTCTTGCAGTAGCCAAACATGTGATCTTTGCGCTGTTGCTGTTGTTGTTTGACCCCTACCTCTTCTAAAAGCAATGGCAGCAGTAATCCTCAGACACACATGTACTCGAACCGAACGAAGCCTCTTGCGCGATCAGAAGGTGCAGTTTGGAAAGCTTTTGGTTTGAATAAGGTGGTGTGCCGTGTGCCTGTTTAATGAGATTGAGGATATGACAAGTCTCATGAGCTTCATGTTGAGCTCCATGAGCAAGGCAGAATATGGATACGTTTTGCTGCTGGACGCGGCATTCATAGAGAGAGAGAAGCGACGATATTGATATGAAGAAGGTTTGTCTCCTTGCAAGCGGCCAACACGTGAACCAAGGATCGGGGAATGGCCCTTCCCAAAAGGGCTTTCCTTTCAAGCCAGGCACATCATGAGATCAAACAGTGTTGAGAAGATCTCAAAAGGACCATTTGTGGAGAAGGTTCCTGTCAAAAGCGGCTCGTCTCACAAATCTTCTGATCCACCGGCGGAGGTTTTCTCGATGTATTTTCGTCGTAGACGACATGGTGAGGTGAACAAAAGTGGTCCCCAAAGAGATAGTGGCACGGTGTCCAATACATTGTAAGTGGGATCCGGATTCTACTTTTCTATCTAGACATGGGGGTCAGGAGGAAGTCCGACCTTTGGTGCGGAGAGAGGGAGGAGCTCTTGTTGAATGAAAGGAGTTCGGTGCAGAAGGACTGATGCATAACCTCCGATGGAGAGCCTGATTAGATCCACCACACAAAAAAAGGCCGTGTTTAATGAAAACGGAAGGAATGCTGCATGAAGGAGGTGTGCACTGGGTAATGTAGACTCTTGACTAACACCCGATATTATCAGAGGTGTTTCGTGCATCCAAGTCGGGGGCGTTTGGAATCAACTTCCTGTGCATTCATCGGTCCGGAAGTTGACGAAAGCACCTGACATCGCCAGTTGGACGCGCGGCGGAACTCGCACGTTTCGTGGATTCGGCACGAGACGGGAATCCACGATGGATCGTTCGCAGCGTATCGGAGTTCTCACGAATGTTTGCTGATTACTGTATGTATTTGTTTTAATTGTACGCTTTTGATATGTCTCTGCCGCTTTGCATGTAAAGGCTGGCAAGGTGGTAGTAAGCTATGCATGTGAGAACTGCGAACATAGAACTCTAACTATACAAATGTGTGTAACCTTGAACTGATTTGCTTGGTGGCTTCTCTGCCAGAATCTCGAACGCCGCATGACAGTTTGCTCTGAAAGGAAATCGATGGTCGAGAAGTGCTCCCACAGGAGAGTTGAAAGATGAGCCAGTTACAAGATGGATATCTCAAAAGCTTCTTTGAACCATTTTGAACCTAGTGTTTGTTTGCTGATGCTTTTCTTTGACACTGCCTGACCACTGCTTGTGTTCGAAAGGAGCGCGACTTTGTGCGACGCTTGGACGAACAAAAGCGAAAACTCAACGTCGCTGGCTCAAGACCATCACAAGCTTGTGTCTGAAACGGGGCTGGCTCAGAAGGGAGCGACCCCAGATTAGTCGCCAAATGAATCCAAATGATTTGAAACAGTGGATGTGTGTGATTTGTCACTTCTTGCTATACACCCATCTCTTCAACCAGACAGGCACAGCGGAAGCGCCACTTGAATCGTGTCGCTTCCGACGGACGACCGCGAATGCCTGGGACTTTGCCAGAGAAGGCTGGAAGTCAAGAGGGCAGATGCGGCAGATGCTCCAAGGTGAAAGCTTCGCTTGTAGATTGTCATCGTGTTGATCTCGAAAATGCATATCTACACAAGCAGCTACTGAGTTCTCAAAGACTGAAAAAGAAAGCCCCGCAAGATAGGTAGCCTTTTTACAAAGACCCTCAAAATGAAAAGGAAGAAAGACCTCTCAATCTTCAAAATTTGCGGTGGCACCGGCACCTTCCCACAACATGGCCAGCCTGCGGAAGATTGGTTTGCTGGTCCTGGGCTTCTCCTTCACTGCGGGGTTCATTGACCTGGTGACCCTGGTGCATTTCACCCAATTTGCTGGCCTGCAAACTGGCAACATGATTCTGATTGGCCGAGACCTCTACCGACTCACCTTGCCCAACGAGTCACAGCAAGAGCTCCTGAAAGCTATTGGCTTTCATGTGGCCACACTCATTAGTCATTTCGCAGGCGTTTTGATTTTTTGCGCTGTGGCACATGTTTGCCAGAGGAATCCTGTGAAATGGGGAGCTCTTTTGGTAGGAGCCTTGACCATGTTTGGAGCCTTACTGGATCTTCTATCCAAAGGCAACGATTGGAGCGTTTGTTTGATTGCGGCCTCCATGGGGGCGATGAATTTCATCCCGTCACCCAACTCCGAACTGGGTGGCAAGTTGTTCTTAATGACTGTGCTGACCACGGGCAACCTACAGAAGTCGGCCAAGATGTGTTTCAAGCTGCTCATTTGCCATAGCTTCACTGATGCTGAGAAGCAGCAGTGGTTGCTCGCTGCCACGACGATCCTTGGGACCATTGTTGGTGCTTTGGTCGGAGCATTGGCGCTGTTTGGGAATCCAGTTGAAAAGCCCTATGGTGAATCTTTATATTTACTACTCATGTCTCCTGTGCAGGTTGCACTCCTGTGCTCTCATGATGCCATTTTCCGTCCAAATACTGCCTTAAGCGATGCAGCCACAAGCCTTGCTGCAATGCCCTCAGACGCAACGGTTTGAAGACTTGCGGCTGACTGCCCTTGGTCGGAGTTTCCAAGATCTTCCGAGTCAGCTCCTGTCATTTCCAAAGCCAGAGAAAGTCTGCGCAATTGACAGCATTGATTTCAGGGTTGTAGCTGGAAATTGGCTGGAAGGATAAAGATGCTTCGAATGCCATAGCGTTGCAGCAAAAAGCTCGCACGATTCGGATTGGACATTGGATTTGGTAATTAGACCCATGATGGAGCTGTCGAAATGATTCGAAATTGCCCATCCACATCCCCAGGACATCGGACATTGCTCGTTTTCCTGGAAGAAGCCGAATCCAAAAAGAATGAAAGGATAGAATTCACATCACTTGGAGCATGTACAGCAATGTTGTACTGTTGGAAGAACGCAGACATGCCAGGGAACAGGCCGCCAGTTGATGGGAGCAGAAGGCCCGTTGTTTGATGCGGTTTGATGAGCAGTGACGTGCCGAGACGAGAGATGCACGTGGAACTGTGTGAGGTGAAACCTTAGGGCTGCAGGAGTGGGGTGTCGTGGTTTTCGGCTGAATACATGCGAAAGGCCTTACAGGGCATGGTTCAGGAAGTGTTGCAAGTGTTGAGCGATGAGTAAAAGAAGTGCATGGAAATGAAATGAGGTGTGTGCCATGTTTCCTTTGGTTGTTCGAAGGTTGATAAGGATGTTCATGTTCGGCGCCTGGAAGGACCTCAGACTCTGAGGACAGCGCCATGAATGTGGTGGTTCTGACCCTGAGTGTCACAGCTGGACAAAGGGAACTGTAGATAGAAAAGGCGTCACAACTTGCTCGTCCAGGGCATTGAATTTAACTTGCCCAAATCGGGAATGGCTCAAGAAAGGGGTACCATCTAAACCCACCATCGTGAAAGGAAGAATCATTTGGAACCGGTCGTTTTCAGTTGCTACGCCTGCATTCGACACCGTCGTGTCACCGAATTAATGCCCGTGCCAGGAAGCCACTGGCACTACTGCCTTTTTACGACATTTTAGGCATTGGACTTGGCAGAAAAGGCCAAAATGGATTTCAAGCTGCCCAGAAAGGTGCTTTTTTTGCTTTGCTGGATATCACTGATGGTGCAGGGCTTGCAGGTGACCAGCTCGGTTTTTGCGTCCGCGAGACTAAAGAACCAAAGCGCCACCGCGCTTGCGAGTCATGGCGGGACAGATCCCTCGACCAGCCAATGTGTGAAGCTTATTACAGATCCCTCGGGCATGCGGGCCAGAGGACCCCAAGCCAATACGCCATGGTGAAAAATTCGCTGCATGGCACTGCATGGCGTCAAAGTGGTCTGACTTAGGTGGAGGTCACAAACACTGGGACAGTGTACCACGTCCAAGAAGATGGCACCAAGGTGTGGTCCATCGCCGTCCGTTTGTTCCATCGGAACACGCCGCAGGTCATTGCAGGGTCCAGGCGACCAGATGGAACCTACCGAAAGCCTGTGCGCGTGCGGGCAGGCAAATCGTGTTTCCGCATGTGGTGAATTTGAAATGGCAACTACTAGCAACAAGAAGCTACTAGGTTGGAGGCCATCGCTAGTAGGCTGGAGGCCATTGCTAGTAGGTACTAAGTAGCTGGACCACGGTGCATAGACGGCCCTGGTGTTTCGTGCGTTTTTAAGCGTTTGTGTGTTCGACTTACAGCTTCAGGGCCAATGGGGAGAGTGTTAGTCAACTGGTGTTTAAGTATGTTTTATGCATTTTCGATGCAGGCATGGCACTGATTCATGGTTATACACTTTCTTGGGGGGTGGGGAAGGCAATTTGCATCATCACTTGTGAAGATGAAGCGACTGCCCTTGCACACTTGTACACTCGATTCCGGAAATTGCAACATATAGGCGTGTGGATGACGACACGGAACGTGAAAACTCGATTCCACACAAACGAACAGATGAAACCCCACAATGTCGTGCAGATGAAACGACAGTTCGTGTAAACGAAACGGACACTCGAACACAACAATGTTTGCAGTGTCATGGCTCGCAGCTTTCTTGTTGCTATTTCTTTTTGGTTTTGCTGTGTGTTTCCTTTGTTGTTCACTTCCTTGTCCTTCGTCATAATTTGGGATATTTGGGGAGGTCCATATCCGTCGAGTTCTTCATTATGCCAGCAAAGACCCCAAACAGCTTCAACAGTTTTTTTGCTGGCCAATGTTAGTGGTAGCGTTTGTATTGGGCGTGGCATGTAAACAAAAAGTGTTAGAAAACAACAGTTCCTGTTTCCTGAGGTCACATGTTCAAACACGAACGGATAATTACTATATATATATATATATGGCTGTATGTCATGAGAAGTCCGAGAATGATATCAAACGCTGCATCAGTGTTGCATTCATAGCCACGCGAAAACGGCGTGAGCACAGCAAGATGACAAGAGAAGGTGCCAGCGCGGTCAAAATACAGCAGGAAGAAAAGTGGAGGCAGCGCGGCCAAAGGACAACAGCAGGACAGCTGCTGCAAGCACCAGGAGGACCAGAGGAGGACACAGGGTTGGCCAGTGCGGCCAGAGGACAAAAGGAGGACAACTGCAAGCACCAGCAACACAACAGGACAAGCCGGACACAGCGTCCAGGAGCGCGGCCAGCCACTGTGGCCAGCTCCTTTTTCTTAGAGAGAACCCCAACAGTAAACTGCTTGGTGAAAAAGCAAAGTGGCTTGGAGCCCTGCAAAAAAGAAGCCAAGCGCACTTCTCACTGTAGCGGCACTCACATTTCACACTCTCCCCAGTCAGATTGAGACCTGTTTGATACAGCTTCCAGGAAGCACCAGAAACCCAGTCAGGCCAAAGGTTTACAACGTCTCCAGGGTCTAAGAATCATGACGAAACCCCCACGGCCGTTTGCGCACCGTGGACCTGCAAAGATGCAAAGAAGTCTGTTTGGCCGTTTTTTGTTGTGAAGCTGCAGGCTACACTCCTCTTGAGGAGAACTTGTACAAAGGTCCAGAGGCGCAGGGGCCAAGGAAAGATCATGCAAGGTGTGTATGATGCCACTGCATGTCATTTCTCACCCTGAAGTACTGGGCACGATTGGTTTGCCTAATCGAAACCTCAGAGATGCCAACAAGCACAGGTGCAGCAGCGAGCACAAGCAAGGCCACCCCCTTAGTCATCCATATTTGGTGCACGGCTCTCACATACTGTGTGAGTGCGATGACTTCCTTTCTTTTTGGATTTTTTGGATTCGATTGGCTCAGGGGAATTCCTGGGCTAGGTCCTGTGGAGACGCAGCGCCCTTCAAGGATTCGGGACTGGAAGGCCAGTGGTGTCGATAGAATCAAAAGATTGCATGCAGGAGTGGATGCATTCCCGGTATGGTTGCCAACTCAGTTGCATGAGCTCAGACTCAAAGCAAAGTGAATCAAAATGTGATGTTGGAATAGTATGGAACAGTATGTCTCCATTTTTGCATGTGCCGAAATGCATGTTTGAACGTGTGTATTGTTTCACACATGCAAAAGTACGACACAAGCTCCAAGCCAAATGTCTCAAGGCACCTGAAAAGGAGCCAAAGGCAAAGGCAAAGGCTGGTTTGAGCCTTGCTACAGAATTGTGGTCACACATATGAGCTCTTCCGCCCAGCATTCAGGCGCCTTCAACGCCCAAAGCAGAGGGAGAGAAGCCCAAAGCAAAGGCAGCCCCCAAAGCAGACGCCAAAGCAAAGGCTGCGCCAGCCGAGCCCGTGTGGGACCCAGCTTCAATTTATGACAACAAATTGAGATCACACATTGGTCCAGAGAGGCTAAGCCAGAGAATCGCTTGAGAAATTTGCGTGGCCTGGACGCAAGATGACAAACTGAGTAATTAATTAGCTTTGTATAAGTTTGTTGGAGACCCGACTCTCGCTGTATATCTCAGTGTCAAAACAAGAATGTTACCCTGCAAACACAGAAACTTCCAGGGGGATGGCGTTGTTTGTGTCTTTATTTTAATATATATTATATATATATATATACAGAGAGAGAGAGAGAGACATACCCAGACACACATATATATATATATATATATTACTGGAGCACTTCGTGTCCCAAGAGTTTTTGTGTTTTCCGGCCGTGTTTGTTCGACTTTTGAGGTAAAAAGCTCGCAGAGATCAACTCCTTGGAGGCTGCGTCTCACAGTTCGATTTGATCGAAGTCGACCCAAACAGAACGGACCCTGCGACCATACGTTTTCACAAATGTTGGTAGATTTCGGGGTATGTCAGGCCCTGTCAAGCGTCCCTTTTTTGGAGGGGTGTGAACGTGATTCGGATTCCTCATTGTCGAGATCCTGCTGGTTGTCGGCGTTGGCAGGAGCGAGCAGCAAGCGACCTTTCTGAGGCCTGCAAGACGTGTCAACATGACCTAGCAAAGCCTGCGATAGCCGCAGGAGCAGAAGCAAAAGATCTCCCGGAAAGACGAATTGCAAAAAGAGGTGCGATTTCCCACCGAAATAATTGAATTCTTTGATATTCTTGAACACTTGTTCCAGGTGGAAGATTTGGAAAAGGAAATCGCTGAACTTCACATATAGCCGAAAGAAAATAATTAATGGGTGGTTCAATTCCTTGCACAATTGATGAAAATCGATAGATGACGCAGCAATGTGTATGTTAAACGAAATACGATAATTGGAATGGAATATATTATAAATATAGAAATAAGTATCACGCTAATGGAAATAAAATGATGATATAATATCTAATATACAAAAATTATCTATTAATTATTGGGTTTAAAATATTTTTTTGCCGATAAAAAATACGACATAGATTATATATTAGTATGTATTTATTGGTTTAAAATGTTTATAAAAATGTTTACTTATTTAGATTTGATATGATGATTTAGTAATTTAAAAATTGGAATTAATGAAATACGATTATTTAATTTTTGAAGAATTGATATGATTGAACGATTAAATTATATATAGGAAGATTGATTTTTGAAATTAATAATAGATAATATTAGTTATTTCGGCAAAAGAATTTATATAGTGGATTTAAGGTATATATTTAGAAAACTTTAGAGATTTAGATGTATTGGGGTTTATAGAGGTGATGATGTGATGAAATGAAGGTGGATATTAATGAATGTATTTGTTACGAAATTTATATTTCGATGTTTATTGTATAAAGCATTGTATTTGTTACGAAATTTATTCGTTTAAGTGTTCTATTTGCGAGAAAATTTTAATTTAGAAATTTATTACGTGTTGCGATCGTTATGAAATTTAAATTTTTAAAGTGTTATATTTAATCGAAATTTATTTTCGAATTTTTTAAGTGTTAATATATGTTTCGAAATTTGTATTAATGAAATTTATATATTGTATTTATTACGAAAATTACATTTTATGCGACATTATATATTTTATATTCGCTAAAATTTGCATTTCGAAATTTATTAAATATTGCGTCTATTACGAAATTTATATTTCGAGATTTTAGGATTTGCTACGAAATTTTGCATTTCTAATTTAATTAAGTGTTATATTTGTAACGAAATTTGCATTTCGAGGTTTACTAAATGGTGCATTTATTACGAAATTGAATTTTTATGATATTGACAACAAGTTAGCCCGCGCACCACCTAAGCAGCTTTCTCCATTATGGCGGGCTAAATGCGACCTTGAGTGCGGTAGGAACTACGGCCCCTGTACATCGAGCCGGATAGGCGGGGTGGATTCGGGATTAACCATGGACATGTTAGGATATATGGATTCACAGCACCCAGTATTTTCTTTGATTCCGAATCGCCGGATGTCGGCGTTGCTTTGCCTAGCACTGCGAGCCTCCGCTCGCTTCTTCATCAGCTCTTCGGTGGGCCGGATGCTAAAACGCCCCGAGTTGATTAACTCGTACAAAGCGGCGTTGGAACCAAGGACCTTGGTTAGGCCGTCTGCCGGCATAGCTAAGTGATCTACCCATTTGACCTGTCCTCCAAGTTCCTTTAGATCTTGGCGGATGATCTGGATTTCTATTGCGGTCCTCTTGTCCTGTCCGCCTAGACAGTCCTTGGACAAATGGTCGTCCAGCGATTTCGCGTCGACCACCGCGAGAGATTCCTGCAGGCCTCACTCACCCAGCTCAGAGCTCATCACCAGGAGCTCCTCACCCTCCAGCCGGCTGCGCCACGCTTTGATGTTGAATTTGATGTTGAAGGTGCCGTCAATCAACTCCTGCACCATCACCATGATCTATAGCAACTCGGCAAGCCCCCTCGACAGGCTCTGTGTCTCTGCAGCCAGAGTCGAATTGACAATTCGCTGCAGCTTCCCTGACCTCCAGGCCAAGACATTCGTGGTGACTGCTGCTCCATCGCGGAGGTTGTTCTCGTGGGCGAGGACCAAGTGCCCCCCCTGGGAGTGAAAACCCGCATTGGCAAATGAAGCGTCGGTCACGACGCTGAGCCGCATCTTTTTCAGTGGTTGCACCTTTAGGCTCAGCTCAGAGTGGGCCTTGATGTCTGTCACAACCTGGTTGAGCTGCAGGATGTCCTCGACGGTCAGCTTGGAGAGCTTTGATGCGATCAAGCTTGAAGGTCCGGAGGCGTCCGGTCTCCCCTTTCTGCTCAGCCAGTGTTGAGTGCGCCGCAAGTGGCTCTGGCAGCGCTGATCTCGGCCTCGTTGACCATCTCTTTCTTCTGGCTCCTTCGCCCCTTTTCCAAGTCCACCGGGTGAAGTCTTTCCTCAATGAATTTCCTCATGTCCACCAAGAAGCCGCCATCTGGTAGCTGGCGAACTCGGCGATCATTAAATGCGCACCCGTCTTTCTCGTTGGCCAGTTGCACGTACTTGCCAAAGACATACTTCTTCTTCAACTGCTCCATTCGGTCGTGGTGTTCTTGGTGCCCGACCGTGAACAGGTCGTCCACTTCGATGGCGATGGCCCCCAAAAGACGTTTGCGTGTCCGGTCGTACAGCTTCATGATGCAGGGGTCCAGAGCGGACATCTCGTATCCCAGAGCCTTCAAGTCTTCTGTAAGGGATTTCCTCCAATGTAGAGGGGCATCAATTAGCCCGTAGCATCCTGCGATGATCTGAACTATCTGCTCTGGATGCAAGCCGCTCACTCCCTCCTTGGGTTGCTGGAAGTATAGCCGTCCTTTTGGTCGATGAAGCGGCTGGCTCTGGCAAAAGGCGTTCTTTAGATCTCCCACCGTGGCCTTCATGTTCTCGTTGGCGGCGATCTGCAGGAGGACGTTGAAATTCACCGTATTTAAAGTAGGAGAGAAGCGCTCCAAGTCCAGGATGTCTGGGTCCAGGTCGCCCCTGATGCATAGCCGGGATTTCTTCATGGCCGGCTCCCCGGGCTGTTCTCCAGGCTTGTATCTTCTTGCTATTTTTGTTGGCAGTATGCGGTCTTCTTGACCTTGCTGCTTCAGCTCTTCTCTGATTTGTCGGGACTCTTCTAGGCCCAACACCTTCACCGCCCCGCTCTGGGTGACCTTATTCCACTCGGAGAGGTCGGAGATCTTCCATTCTTCTTGATCCTGTGGGCTTTCTTTGCTGAGGCTGACTTCATCTTGACCTTTCTTCTCGGCCACATAGTTCTTCGCTTCCTTGATCTCCTTGAGGTAGAACACGGTTTTGCCTTTCCACCATTCATCTAGACTCCTCCGTTGGGGCGTCTGCCAGTCATCTTCTTCCATCATCCCTTCGTGTGCCTTTCTTACATGCGTCTCTCGACGCTCAGTCAGAAAAGTCCACGGCAGCGGGGCGTCGGAGTTGAGCTTCGGGTCGAACTTGGCCTTCCTTTTGCGTCGATGGTGCCTGGTCAGCGTGCCAACTTTCCAGTCCAGCGACCACTCATCTTTCTCTGCCCTGGTTTTGGCTAGCTGCCTGATCTTCGTCTGTCTGGTCTGACTCTCCTCCTCCAGAGCCTCTTCAGCTTCAGCTAGAAACCATTCCTGGTCCTCAAAGTAGGGGGCGATGTGGTCCTGTCTGGCCCTCTGTTGCCATCGATAGATTGGCCCTGATGTTGGACCTGGCACTCCATCCAGCCGATTTGCATCCAGTTCGGATTGCCTCAATGCTTCCTGCACCTCATGTGACCTCGGGTCTATCGGAGGTCGGTCCACGTTCACCGGCGGCGTCTCTGGCACGCCTCCTGGGAACCCAGGATGATGTCTGGCCTCAGCTCTGCTTGCTTCGCTGTTGGCCCTTGGGAGAGGTGCTTCTTCTTGTTCTGGTTCGTTGAGGGATCTTCTTCTTTTGACTTGGCCGGCTTCTTCGGGATCTTCTTCGTGCTCCCCCTCGATTTGTGTAGGAGTGTATTCCACTTCTTCTACGGCTTCGTCGAACCGGAGGTGTTGGTCTCGTCTTCCTTGTTGTTCTCTGTCTTCTTCTCCTTCACCTTCCTCCGGGGGAAACTCCTCTTGACTCAAGTCTTTGTATCCCAGCCGGTGAGACCCTCTTTTGAGCTCTTCGATCAACTCCTGACACTCTTGCACCACCGCTTCGATCCCCATCTTCTCATCGTTGGTGGCAGGGCGGCATTGTTCTCGAGCGACCTTCCAGAGCTCACCCAGCATCGATACCCAGAGGTTCGCTCCATCTGGAGCTATGACTACCCCGGGGCCGACCCATCTTGCCTTTGTTGAGAGTGAGGCGTCATCGACGGGTCCTCCGTGTGTCCGCTTCTTCATGCGAGGTACTCGAAACACGAACACATACTCCCCGGGTTTGTAGTCCACCCACACTCGTGGACGTGCTCGAAGGGCTCGCTTCAGGGTGCTCTTGGCATTGTGCTCGCAGAATGCCTTGTGTGCGATGTTCCGCATGTGGTGCAACTTTTCCAGGTCATCGGTGATCACCCCGTTCAGCAGCGTTGGGTCTATTGCCTCATCTGACATGATTGACGTCGGCAATCTTGGCCACTGTCCGATCTGACGTTGAATCGGTGCGAAGCCAGATCTATTGGAGTACCTGTTCTTGGCCTGCTCGACCTCGACCATGAGCTGCTTGAGATCCTTGGTGCTTTGAATCACCACCTCACTTCTGGCCTTCTCCAGGAGCTCCTTGAAGAGCCCTCCGTGGCGTTCCGTCTTCCCTTGCTGCCAGCGTGCTTTGGAGGCGATCTGGTGGATAACGATCCCTTCGGCAGCCGCCTTTTGGATGAACTCGCCCAAGAACTCTCTGCCAGCATCGCAAGTGATGACCTCTGGATGTCCGAAGGTCCTGGCCCACGTAGACATGTAGGCCTCCCATACCTCGCTCGGATTCTTCCCCAAAAGGACCTCGCACATTTGGTAGTTGGTGCCCCAGTCCAAGATGTTGAGAACCGGGACAGTCTGCTTCCCGTCTCCGGGTGCCGGCACATAGAACAGATCCAGCCCCAGGACCCGGTTGGGCTGGTAAGCCCTTGGCAAGGCAGTCGGTCGTGGTGCTTTGGGATGTCTCTTTGACTCACACACACATCGCACTTGAACTTCTTTGCAGCCCACTGAACAATCTCCCCTCGCACCCGAGCTGCGCGAAGAAACCTGATGAACTCTCTGTCCTGGGGATGTCCGACCGCTCGATGCACTCTCATCACGGCCTTCTTCTCCTCCTCCGTTGGGTTGTAGTCTCCGGGGCCTTCATCCGGCACTGGATCGAGTTCGTCCTGGGCCTCTTCTTCGTCCTCGTCCTGATCTTCTTCCATGGCATAGGTGGAGATGCCGTTAAGGTACTTGAGAATGCCGTTCGAGATCGCCTGACACAGCCTGTCCGGGTACACTTGAGCCAGAAGCGGCCTACCATTCTCCAATGGGACGTGGAAGTGGCTCTTGTCGCACTTGACCTCCAGGGCCTCCAGAACCGGAGGCATATTGGAGAGCCACCTTGTTCTCTTTCTGTTCAAGCCAGTACCGTCCACGTTCAACCCGAACATGCACTAGTCGCACACGACGGTCTGGACTCCGCGGCTGGCCGCCAAAGACTGCAGTTCGGGCTCTTGCCATGAGGTAGCCCCGTCTGGATGCTCAAAGAGTATTGTCCCTCCTCTTCTCAGCTGCCAGCGCAGGACAGCGATGGCCAAATGTAGATGTTCTCGTCCAGTTTGAAGGAGGTGCACTCTTTTCTTTGGGTCCATTCGACCCCAGTTCACTGCCTGCATTCGGCTGAAGGCCTTGCATGGGGGACACACCAGGATCACTTCTGGCTGCTCTTCTCTCAAAGCCTTCCACATGGCCTTCCGTTCTTCTGGTTTGCTCAGATCCCATCCGGTTTGGAGGTCAAAACTGGTGCCCACATCATAGCCTCTCTTCCTCAGGAGCTTGGTGATGCGGGGCGGACAAAAGACTTCCGAGAGGACTTTTCCGGCGGCAGGCATCTTCTTCATGGCCGTTGACAACATCTGCCGCTCCTTTCTCGAAAAGTGGGAGCTTTTGGAATCCTCCCACATGTCTTGAAACTCGCCTCTCCGGGTGTGCCTCACCTGGACATAGATCTCGACGGCGTCCTTCGGGATGATGTGGGAGGCTTCAATCCAGTCACCGGTGGCATTCTTCATCCAGTAGTTGCCATAGGTCTCCACCAGCGGGTTGCTCCCCTGCTGAGCCCTCCGCGCCCAGCGAATGGCGCTGCTGGTGCAACACCGGGTCCACCCGTCTCCTAGCCGTCGAACTCCTCCACATCCACCACTGGCACGTTTTCCGCTCTGCTGCTGTTCACCGACACCTGACACCAGCTGTTCCCCACCGTAGGAGCCGCCGCTGAGGCCTCCCTCTTCGGACTCTTGGACCTTCTTGGGTTCAGGGATGAAGCCGCCGTCTTCACCTCGTCGAGGTCGACCTGGTCCTTCTCGTCGATCCATTCGAAGAGGTCGCATCGGCGTTGGACGCATTTCCAAAACATGCGTCCCTTCCTCGGTCCATCCTTCTTGACGATCAAGGCCTCGGCCAGGCGCCCGCACAGGCAAAGCTTGCTCGGTCTTGGTGGAGGTGATCTCCTGGAGCTTGCTCGAGGGTCGTGAGTCGTGTCCGGATTCTTAGCCTGGATGAGCATCTGCATGAGCTTCTCCTGTCGGATCTCCTGCTCGCGGTTCGCCACCGTAGCCCTCTTCACCTCCTCCGCTATCTGTTGCAGCTGGACCGCGTTCATCTGAGATTGCTGAACGGAGGATGCGGCCTGCTCGTTCCTCAGCTGCTGAAGCATGATCTGGGCATGAGTGCCCATCTCGACTCTCAAGTCCTGCTTCATGGCCATCAGGGCCTCCAGGGTTTCTCCCCCGGATGGAGGTGTTGCCATCATGGCATCGTCCATGATCTTGCCCTCGCTCCTCATCGGTGTCCTTGGTGCTGGAGTGGAGGTACTCGGGCTCTTGGGCGATGTGGGCTTCCCCTTCTGGTACTTCATGCTCAAGGGGCCGTCCTTGATCTTCTTCTGAACCTCGGCTGCCCGCTCGGAATGGGCCCACCTGGTATGGCATGCTCGGCACACTATGTACGAGCTCGAACCATTTCCGCCCCCTTTGAGACTGGACTTGGGATGCACGCAAGAACTGGTGGAAGTCGTAGGCGCATTCTTGCTCTGGAGGGGTTTCAGCACTTGCGCATGCATGATCACCTCCGAGTAGTAGTCCGCGATTGTCTCCAAAGACTTGCGCCCCGGCCGCTGCGAGTCCAAGTCCATGCACCAGGCCTCTGTGGTGTCCTGGAGGGCGGCGAGAACCAGCAAGATGCCGATCTTGTCCATGAGGATTCGCCAGTTTTTGAGCGGGATACGAGAGTTGTATACCCGCGGCCCGACTTCCATCGGCACTGGGTCCGTGGAAGGAGTAGCGCCCACCAATGCTTTGGCTTTCTTCAGCAGCGACGCCATGTGGTGGTGATGGGCGAAAGGCGTCTCCGGGCCGATCGAATTGAGCACCGGCGAAAAGTGATTGAGCCGGCATTGCTGTGGTGGCAAAACAAAGTGATTCCATCTCTTGCGTACCGGCTTCCGGAGGAACCAAAAACTTGCCCTCTGCGAACGACATGACGTTGACGGCGACATGACCGCTTGCGAGTTCACGAAGTGGTAGAAAAACCTGATGTGAGGGGACCTGCATGACCATGTTCTTCAAATCGATGACCGCCTCCAATGCCCTGAGAAGTTTTACCGGAAGCAGAAACGGGACGTCTCCCTGCACTACGGTGGTCTCCAAAACACCATTGATGCCTCCAAGCCCCAAAGGAATCAATGCAACCCCTTCGACCACCGCGTTGCCTCCTACCCCCTTTGCAAATGACTGCTTGGGAATCCACTTGATTCGCAAACCACGACCGGCGAGTTCCCGTTTGAGACGATGAAGAGACTCCTTCCCGATCAAACCACCCTCAGCTGCCGTGTCCACTATCCCCTCAATCGCTTGGGTGGTGATGCCACAAAAATTCACCTTTCCCTCCTTGACCATACATGCCCGCTCCATGTATCGCTTCGAAGGGTTGGCTCCATTGTTGAACTCCGTCGAGGTCTCTTGTCGAGCTCGACTCTCCTTCACAAACTGTCGCAACCAAAAATCGTGCTGCGACGTGGAGAAACTATCGCTCTCAGATCGTAGTCCCACGTAGAAGGTGCGGCTCTCTCCTTTCCCGGCTTGGCTCGCTGGTGGATTTTGGCATTCTCTTTCCCAGTGCCCCACTTGCAAGCACTTCCTGCACCTGGTGCGCAACTTGAGCTGCTCGATGTGAACACGGCGTTTGCCCTTGTCTTTGCCTTTCTGGAAGGCGTTGATCTTGCCTTTGCCTTTCCCTGGGAAGAAGCCTCGTCCCAGCCGTTGATCTTTGAGTGCCTGACGGGTGTCATTGTAGGAGGCTAAGGCATTCATCACGTCTTGTTCATCCATGACCTCATCAAGGTCCCCATCGGCCAGGAAGACGTAGTTCTCATCGTCATCCTCCCAGGCCGCGACGCCATCGCCGTCCGCTTCGTAGTGGATGCCGGAGGACCCCTCAAGGACATAGCTCTCTTCAGTGACATAGTTTCCCTTGGCCTTGTCCTTCTCCTTAATGACCTTGTCCAACCTCCTCAAGGCCTTCGTGATCTCGCCACGGCCATATTGGCCTTCGGCCCAGGTCAGCAGCCGCTAGTCCTGGGCTTCCGTCAGGGAGGCCTGTCGGTACAGTATGTACCCTTTTGCCCCGTCGGGCAAGTCGACGCCCTCCTTGGCGAGGTTGATGAAGGCCCGTTCCATCCTCTTCGTGTACTCGGCGAAGGACCCCTTGTTGCCTCGAGGCGGTCCGTAGACCGCGACTTCAAATGCCCTTGGCAATGAAACCTCAAGGTGTGGCAGAAAGTAGTCACGGAGCTTGCCGAGGATGTTCTTGACTCCCTGCTCACTGGCAATCTCCGAGATCTCCATGTCGTCCACGGCCGTCATGGCCACACCTGAGAGCTGGCGAAGCAACTTGATGCCTCGCTTTGGTTTTGGCACCTCAGTTTCGAACTCCCACAAGGCCACCTGCTTCTCGTACTGGCGGAACGTAACCTCCGGGTTCTCTCCGTCGTATGCAGGTGGTGGGTCTCGATCTCTCGGTGCCCCCTCCGTCCTCCCGGCATGCCCTCCGGTGCTAGCTGCAGCAAAGCCGCCTCCGGTCCGTCGGGGTTCATGTTCTTCCTCGCTCATGGTCGAGCCCTTGCCACCTGGATCCGCTCCACGAGGCTCCGCGGTACCACTGACAACAAGTCAGCCCGCGCACCACCTAAGCAGCTTTCTCCATCATGGCGGGCTAAATGCCACCTCGAGTGCGGTAGGAACTACGGCCCCTGTACATCGAGCCGGATAGGCGGTGTGGATTCGGGATCAACCATGGACATGTCAGGATACATGGATTCACAGATATATTAATTAAATCTTGTATTTATTCCGAAAATTGTATTTCGATATTTATAAAGTATTGTATTTATCACAAAATTTGTTCTTTTATGATTTGTTAAGTGTTGTATTTGCGAAAAAATTTCTATATCGAGGTTTATTAAGTCTTGCGTCCGCTATAAAATCTTCGAGATTCTTAAACTATTATGTATATTATGAAATTTGCATTTCGAGGTTTATTAAGTATTATAATTGCTACGAAATCTGCATGTCGAGATGATTTATTAAGTGTAGGATCTGTTACGAAATTTGTCTTTCTAGGTTTATTAAGTGTTGCACTTGTGACGAAATCTGCATTTCGAGATTTACCAAGTGTTGCGTTTATTACGAAATTTAAATTTCATGATATATTAATTAATTTTTATATCTATTCCGAAAATTGCATTTCGATATTTATAAAGTGTTGTATTTATCACAAAATTTGTTATTTTATTATTTGTTAAGTGTTGTATTTGCGATAAAATTTCTATGTCGAGGTTTATTAAGTATTGCGTCCGCTATAAAATCTTCGAGATTCCTAAAGTATTATATGTATTACGAAATTTGCATTTCGAGGTTTATTAAGTGTTATGCCTGTTACGAAATCTGCATTTCGAGATTTTTTATTAAGTGTAGGATCTGCAACGAAATTTGTATTTCCAGGATTATTAAATATTGTGTTTGGGACGAAATCTGCATTTCGAGATTTACCAAGTATTGCGTTTATTACGAAAGTTAAATTTCATGATATATTAATTAAATTCTATTTTTATTCCGAAAATTGCATTTCGATATTTATAAAGTGTTGTATTTATCACAAAATTTGTTATTTTACGATTTGTTAAGTGTTGTATTTGCGGTAAAATTTCTATATCGAGGTTTATTAAGTATTGCGTCCGCTATAAAATCTTCGAGATTCCTAAAGTATTATATGTATTACGAAATTTGTATATCGAGATTTATTAAGTGTTATGCCTGCTACGAAATCTGTATTTCGAGATTCATTATATTTTGTGTTTATTACGAAAATTAGATTTTAAGCGGCATTATACATTCTATTTGGGACGAAATGTGCATTTCGAAATCTATTATATAAATATTGCGTCTGCTACGAAATTTGCATTTCGAGGTTTTTTTTAAGTGTAGCATTTGCTACGAAATTTGGTTAAGTGTTGCATTTGTGACGAAATCTGCATTTCGAGATTTATCAAGTGTTGCATTTATAACGAAATTTAAATTTCATAATATATTAACTAAATCTTGTATTTATTCCGAAAATTGCATTTCGATATTTATAAAGTGTTGTATTTAT